CTATTTAATTAAATAGCCCTATAGAAAAAATCCCTAAAATAATTACTTTTTTTTTTTAATAATTTATATATTATATATAATAAATATTATATATTAAATAATAAAAGACTTTTATATTATTTTCTTTTTTAAAAAGAAATAGTAAAAAAAAGGTATTATATATACTTTAAATAAAAAGCTATTTAAAAAAAAAAATCCTAAAAGTTAAAAAATAAAACTACTTTTTTTTTTAACTTTAATATTTATTTACTTAATATTATAATTTATATAATATATATTATATATTTAATATTTAATAATATTAAAAAAAAAAAAAGTTATATATTTATATTTATTTATTTATAAAGAATTACTTTAAGGTATTATAATATAAAAAGGGGTATATAGTAATATATAATTAATTTTTATATAATAGGATTAATATTATTTATAATAATATTATTAATAATAAAAGTATTTACTGTTAATAATATAATATTTTAAATAATTAAATATATATAAAAAATATTATTATTTATATAAATAATATTAAATATAATAGTAAATATAAACTATAATTATTTTAAAGTTAATAAAAAAAAGTAAATAAAAAAAAAATATTATTTACTAAAGTTATAAAAGCTAATATAAATAATAAATTATATAATAAATTTATAATATTTAATTAAATTTTAAATATTATAATTTTATAAACTTAAATTAAATAATATTAAAGAATTATAATTAAAAATTAAATTTATTATATAGTAATAATAATAGGTTTTAATAATATATTTTAATAAACCTTTTTATAAATTAATTAAAAAGCTTTTATATAATTTTATAAAATATTAATTATAAATTATTAAATTAAAAAATAAAAAAGTTTTATTAAATTAAAAAATATAAAAGTAATCTTTTAAGTTAAAGTTAAATAATTATTTTAATATTTTATAAATATTTTAATATAATTATTATTATATACTATATATTAATAATATTTAAAATTATTTATTAAATAAAAGTTAATAAAAAATATATTAAATATAAAAAAAAAATATATATTAAATTTTATAATATTAAGTAATTATTTTATTAACTTTTTAAAAGTTAAAATAAAATATATAGTATTTATATAAAAAAAGTTTATTTAAAGGTTAATTAAAAATTTTTTAACTTAAATATAAAATTAATATATTAAATATCTTTTAGTAAAAGAATTAAATAATAAATAATAGTTAAAGTATAATAAAGTATTTTTAATAAAAGTAATAATTAAATTATAAATTTTATAAAAATAAAATAATAATATAAAAATAATTAAAAATTAAAAATTATTAAAAAAGCTTTTATTTTATATTTTATTTAAATTATATATTTTTTTATTATAAAAATTTATAAAATTATTATTATTTATTTATAATTATTTTTTTTTTATTTAAAAGTTATTTTAAAAATTTTATTATATTTAATTAAGGTTATAAAATTAAATAAATATATCAAAAGTAATATTTTTAAAAAAAAAGCAGTTTATTAAAAGCTATTTATAAAAAAAACACTTTCTCTTTTATTAAACGCTAATAAAAGCATTTAAGTTTATAATTAATAAACTAATTAATTAATAAAATTAAATAAAAGTATAAAAAGGAAGCTATAGTTTTTTTATTTTTAAAAAGTTTAAAGATAAATACAGTCCTTTATACAACCCTAGCTATAAGGTCTATAATAAAGACTATGCTGTGCTTATCCTTAACTCTTTTACTCTCCTGGGAGCCGCTGTTCCTAACAGTTATTTTCCGACTATCTTTATAGAAGAAGATAGAGGGGCGAGATCTGTTGACAGTACCATTGATAGAGTGATTCCTGTAAGTGTTGATTCTGACGAGTTTACTGACTTTTCCCAGATTACCAGAAGAGTTAAAGATATCCGGCGAATGCTCCTCAAGGCTCTCGATTGTGATACAAACATTTCTCTTCATGACGGTAATAACCAGCAAATGGAGATACTGTTCAAATACCGTGGAGTAAACTGTGACAACACGGGAGAAAACAATACGAGCTCTACGACCGCTAGACCGTCTCTTATCGAAGTCTTTGCCATTGTGGAGAGCGACAAGCTTAAATGCGTTATCGAATGGTCGCCCGAAATGGCTCATCAAGAAAAATTACGTACCTGGGTTAAAGCTTGCGAGTCTACGATGCGAGAGTGTGCTCACGCTGATATACTAAAGCCTTTGACTTGCCTCAGCGATTACCCACTTCTTCCGTACGACTACAAGGTTCTAGATGGTTGCATTGAAAGAGTTTTGCCTCAGTGGAATCTTCAAGTCCTCGATGAGATCGAAGATATTTATCCTTGCTCACCCTGCCAAGAAGGCATGATTATCAGTCAGATTCGGCATCCCGACAGAAACCTTTACAATCACGAGACTACGTGGAGAGTGACTCCATCAGAGGGAAATTTTGTGGACGTCAGTCGGCTGGAAGCTGCCTGCCGCATCGTTATCCAGCGACACCAAATATTGCGGACCGTTTTCTGCGAGGCCGGGGGACAGCATGCACCATTTGTCCAAGTTGTCTTTAAAGATGCTGCTTCACTCAAGGTCCAGGTCTCCAAGTCAGATCTTCCAGCCAGCGATACTGCAATCCCAGCACCGAGGGTCGTTGATTCTACTATGTTTCCCTATCACCTGGCCATTTGCGGGTCTCCGGATGAAATCTCTTGCAAATTCGTCATCAACCACGCCTTGCTTGATGGTTCTTGCCTAAGAGTGCTGATACGTGAGCTGTCCCTTTTATATGACCAGATGAGCCTCCCAATAGCCCCCCTCTACAGTAACATCATTCATTACTTATTATCAAACCCATCCGACGACTCATATGCTTATTGGAGATCTCTATTGGATGGTGTAAGCTCATGTCATTTCCCAAGCCTAAATGAATGCGATGAATCCATCGCTGCTCCTGGAAGGCTCGACATTGCGATTCCAGACCGCCAGGTTGCAGCATTGCGAGGATTCTGTAGAGAACATGGCGTTACCATTGCCACCGTCATGAGCACCGTTTGGGCCTTGGTACTTCAGACATATATAGGAAACGATGCAGAAACAGTCTGCTTCGGTTACATGGCGTCTGGTCGAGACGTTCCGGTATCTGATGTTCATGACATGATGGGGCCTCTCCTAAACATGCTTGTCCAGAGAGTCGATATTCAGCCATCAATGACAATCTCATCTCTGGTTCGCAGTGTTTATGATGGAATCGTCGAAAATCTACCCCACCAGAATTGCTCGCTGGCAAAAATCCAAAGTGGTTTAGACCTTGGAGGACAAAGCCTATTCAACACATTGGTAAATGTACAAAAGGTCTCTTCAGCCTATGAGACCAGCGCATCTTCTGCTATCAATTGGGAGCTTATTAGAGAAGGCGGCCCGGCTGAGGTAAGATGAAACCCCACGCTATATTATTGGAAGCTTTAAGCTAATATGACGTTATAGTACGATGTTATTTTTGGTGTAGTGGACTCTGACCAGACTATCAAAGCCGACCTTCTCTTCTGGACCTCATGCATCTCTGAAGAGCAGGCTGTGGATCTCCGGGAAACCTTGTTGCAGATTCTAGCATCTCTCTTGGAAAGCTCTAGCAAATCAACAATCAACGAGGTCAATGCATTTGCGGAAAGCCACGGTCGTCAGCTCCATACATGGAACTCACACAATCCCCATATCGTCGAGTCTTGTTTACATCAACTGTTCGAAGCGCAAGCCGTCATTCATCCAGATGATGCAGCAATTAGCACTACAGGAGTAGAAGGAAATTGGATCTACGCCCAGCTAAACGATGTTTCAACAAGACTCGCTGCCTATCTCCAGTCCTGTGGAGTGGAAATCGGCATGGCTTTGCCATTCTGCTTTGATAGGTCACCATGGACTGTTGCTAGCATGCTTGCCATTCTCAAATCTGGAGGTGCCTGCGTTGCTCTGGATCCCTCTTATCCGATTCAACGACTGAAAGACATCATCGGAATAACGAGCGCTAGGATAATTATTTGTGAAGAAAAGTACACTGAGTTATTCGAAAGTCTACCAGAAATAATGGTGATCTCAGTCAATCAAGAGTTCTGGGATTGTGTCCCAGATGTCGTGAGTTACAGTTCGTCGGTCACGCCGAATGATCCAGCATTCGTCAACTTCACTTCTGGAAGTACCGGAGTGCCAAAAGGGAATATTCTGGAGCATAAGTCAATTGCCTCTGCTCTTTGGCATCACCGCGCCATAGACCCGTTAGGAAGACAGGCGCGGGGCCTGCATTTTGCATCTTACACGTTCGACATGAGCTTCGCCGAGATTCTTTTGATCTTTGCTCCGGAGGCTGCCTTTGCATACCTACTGAATATGAGCGCTTGAATTGCTTAGCAGCTACAATCAACAAACTCGATGTGAATTGGGCTTATCTTACACCTACTGTTGCAAGTCTTCTTGACCCATTAGAGGTCCCTAGTTTGAAGACCATTTGCCTCGGTGGAGAGCCGGTGCTTGATACCTTGGTGGCGAAATGGAGAAACAAGGCTAGACTAATCGCGACATATGGGCCTTCTGAATGTTCAATCGCCATCTCTCGCTCCGAGGTTCGAGGTTTCGGCAACGGACAGCTCGGTCCTGCCTCGGGTGGCCTTCTCTGGATCGTTAATCCAACGGATCATGATAAACTGGTGCCCATTGGAGCCCCTGGTGAGTTACTCATCGAGGGACCACTTGTAGGCAGAGATTATCTCAACGCAACCTTAGCTAAATCTGCTTTCATTGTGGATCCAGCTTGGGCGAAAGACTTCCCGGTGTCTGGCATCCAAGAAACTGGACGACGTATGTATAAGACCGGAGACATCGTCCGGTTTAACAAAGATGGATCAATGATCATGCTGGGTAGGAAAGCCGAAGATGGCCAGGCAAAAATTCATGGCCAGAGGGTGGATCTAGGGGAAGTGAGTCATCACATAACTGCCAGCAATATCTTCAAACATGCGATATGTTTCGTGGCGAAGAAAGGCCCATGTGCCAATAGGCTGACGGCAATTGTTTCTTCCATGGATCTGGCAGACGCTATATTGGGATCTACCGACCAGACTTTGACTATACAAAACGGCCCAGAGGCGAGAGCGAGCATCTTGGATCTTCGTCGTTGGCTTGAGGATCGTGTCCCAAGTTACATGATGCCACGATCATGGATTTTGCTGGAAACAGTTCCCGTTACGCTCAATGGCAAATTGAACCGCCGCATTCTCTTCCAATGGCTTGAATCTATGGATAGTGAGGCTTACGAGAGCATACTAAAGCTGAACAATGACGATGAAACACATTCATTGGGCTCATCAGATGCTCTTAGCCCAATGGAGGAGAGCCTGGTCAAAGCGTGGAGCCACGTCCTTAATATTCCAGATGAACAAATTAGTCTCAACCAGAGCTTTTTCAGCCTTGGAGGCGATTCCATTGCTGCAATTAAGCTATCTTCCCGATTGCTCAACGAAAATATCCAAATATCTATGCACGATATATTGCAGTATCGTACCCTATCTGAGATCGCCAAGAGGGCAACGATGATCAGCTCGACTTCCAGTGGCGTTCAGGTACAAGACAATTTGCCTGAAACACCATTCCCACTGCTATCACGACGTTTGTCGCACCCACAGTTCGAGAAATTATTGGCCAAAATTACATCTACTCTTAAAGATGTTGGCACCGACATGGAGAATATCGAGGACATTTACCCCTGCTCACCGATGCAAGAAGGTATCTTATTTAGCCGCGCTAGGCAAGATGGTCTATACGATTTGATCAATGATTTCAAGGTTGTTTCCTGCAGGAGTACTGAACCTGTCAATCTGGAGCGATTTCGCCATGCCATTGACTTGGTCGTGGCGCAACATCAGTCTCTTCGTTCCTTCTTTGTCGAAGGCGACGATGTAACCCCATACGTGCAAGTAGTTAAGAAAACGGTAGAGGCTCCCGTTACTTGTATCAGTTCCTACAATTCACAGGAGCCTTTCAAACAGTTGATTGTGGATCCTATTCCGCTGCAGCACCTTGGGTATCGGTTCATTCTCTGTCAGGTCTCACCCACGAGAGATGTTTACGGCAGACTTGAGATAAACCATGCCTTGATTGATGGGCAATCCATGAAAACACTCATCACGGACATTCTTCTTGCATATGATGAACTACTGCCCCTCTCTCACACCCCGCCACTTTACGGAGACTTCATCAGCTACCTCCAACAGCTCCCGACAGAGAAGTCGCTGGAATACTGGACTTCTGTTGTGCGAGGCCTTGAACCATGCATCTTGCCATCGCTCAACACACTGCAAGATGGGCAAAATGTGTGCAATGCCATCGATGAGATATTGGGTTCACATCTCACAGAACTGATCTTCCAATTCTGTAGGAACTATGACACTACGATTGCCACCGTCATGAGCGCTGTTTGGGCATTGGTGTTGCGGGCATATGTGGGAATGGATACAGTTTGCTTTGGTTTACTGACATCTGGACGCGCAATTCCGGTGCCACATGCAGAAGCTATCATTGGACCCCTTATTACTATGATGGTCTCGCGAGTCGATCTGAAGAGAGAAATGCCAATTCTTGATATGATTCGCAGTATACACGATGGCTTTCTAAGTGGGTTGGAGCACCAGCATACCTCGCTCTCCACGATACAACAAGCTTTTGATGGGGGTAGGCAACGCGGGAAGATGTTTAATACAGTGGTGAATGTACTCAAAGGGGGTGTTGCGGCGGTAGAAGAGTCGCCGTCCAGCATCAAGCTCGAGGTCATGGACGCCCGTGGCCCAACTGAAGTAAGTCTCTCTCATATTCTCACACTAGATCCTTGTATGCTTACAAAAGTCCTTTAAATCACAGTATGATGCTCCATTAGATGTTGTACACACAGATGCAAATATCTCCTTGAGTTTCAGCTATTGGACAAGCTGTCTGTCAAATGAGCAGGCTCAGCTCATGCAGCAAACTTTTCTACATGTTCTTGAAGGCCTCGTCCAGGGAGCCTCTGGTAAAGTGGGCGACCTGGATATACTTGGTGAAGCTCATAGGTCTCATATTATGCAATGGGCAAGTGAAATGCCTCCGACGAGTTACTCTTGTGTCCACGAGCACGTGGAAAAACGAGTTGAGATGCATCCTGATGTAGACGCTATCGTCACATCGGATTTACAAATCAAGTACCAGGAACTGGAGAGTCTCTCCTCTCTTCTAGCGGCCCATCTCGCCTTCTTGGGTGTCGGACCTGAGGTAATGGTGCCTTTCTTCTTCGAAAAATCGCCCTGGACCATTGTGGTGATGTACGCCATCTTGAAAGCGGGCGGTTCTTGCGTGGCCCTCAGTCCAGATTTTCCTGACTCGAGACTAACCCATATGATCGAGGCTACTAATGCAACGCTTGCTATTTGTGACTCAAAGTTTGTAGAGAGGCTCAAAGCATTGATTCCATTAATCTTGCCGATCGACGCGTCGGTCTCTACGGTCAGTGTCATGATGAATCACTTGGAAACACTTCCCACCAAAACTCCGTCCCGGGCAAAGCCATACCACCCAGCTATTATCGCATTCACCTCGGGCTCCACTGGCACACCCAAAGGTATCATCCTGACTCATGCCTCAATGAGCACCAGTATATACGCACATGGGCCTTTGGTTCAGATTTCAGAATCTAGCCGTGTTCTCCAATTCTCTTCATATACTTTTGATGCCAGTTTGGAAGAAATATTCACCACCCTCGCATTTGGAGGTACAATTTGCGTTCCAACCGAGTACGAGAGAATGAATGAGCTACCAGTCTTTATCAAAACTCACCGGGTCAATTTTGCTTCATTGACACCTACTGTGGCATCGTTACTAAACCCAGAAGAACTCCCGTTGAAAACGGTCGATATTGCTGGAGAGGTGGTCCCCCAAACACTAGCCAGCAAATGGGCGGCGCACACGAACCTGGTGGTTACGTATGGGCCCGCCGAGTGCTCGATCATCAGCTCTGGAATGCTTGTTGACCCGAGCCATGTTCAAAATGGTACTCTTGGGAAGCCTGCGGGTACCTTGATGTGGATAGTTGATGCCAATGACCACAACAAGCTGGTTCCCATTGGTTGCGCTGGCGAGATTCTCATCGAAGGACCCTTTCTGGCGCGCGGATATCTCAACAGAGACCAAACAGAGAAATCTTTCATATTTGACCCTTCTTGGACACTAAAGTGTCCTATCAAAGGCGCAGGAAACCGGCGTCGAATGTATAAAACAGGTGACTTGGCCCGATATGAACCCGACGGATCCATCATTTACCTCGGACGAATGGATTCCCAAGTCAAGATCCATGGGCAACGAGTCGACCTGGGCAAGGTTGAGACGACTTTATCAAGTCATGGAGTGAGCCAGTCAATTGCAATGGTTCCCAAAGCTGGACATTTTGCGAAGAAGTTGGCTGTTGTATTCTCACTAAGCAACGCCTCCTCGGAGCCTGGTCATATTCTCGACCCCGTGACGGATGACCATACTGCATCTTACGTGTCGGAGTTGCGAAAAGCTCTACAAGTTGCTATATCAGGATACATGTTGCCTCGCGTATGGGTTCCAGTTGAAGCCCTCCCTCTAAATCCAAACGGAAAACTTGATCGTCGTATGACGCGGCAGTGGCTGGAGATGTTGGACGAGGAAGTTTGTGAGCGTATTCTTGCTCTTGGAAACAGTCTAAAGCAGGCATTAGTGCTTTCAGATATCGAGAAACTCCTAGTCTCTGTGTGGTCTGAAGCTTTAGGCCTTCCCAAAAGCATGATCGATGTGGATTAGCCCTTCTTCAGCCTTGGTGGAGACAGTGTCTCTGCTATACGGGTGGCATCACAACTCAGATCTCAGGGAATACATCTAGCTGTTCACGATATTTTCCGCCATCGCACCGTGTCAGCACTTGCGGATGTTGTCAGGAGTGGTAATCCGGACTTGGAGGGAACCATCGGCAAAGCCGAGCCATTTCCTCTGACTCCATCACAGCTCATGCAACTTAGAAACTACGCTGAGAACATAAGCACGGTTACCCAAAATTTCATCTTAAAACTCAGAAGACGGGTAAATTTCGATAAAATGAAAGCTGCTTTCAAGGCGCTTAGTGAACGGCATCCTATGTTGACCGCGCGCTTCGAGCACGATGCGAGTGGTGCATGGTTACAAAGGTTGGTGGATATGCCATCCAACCCCATGGATTTCAGCCATTTGAAAGTGACATCACTGGTAGAGGCACAGTCGCTATTTGTCTGCATGCGGACTTATTTGGATGTTGTAAAAGGCCCCCTCATGGCTGCACGCTTAGTGGACGTTGAACCATTAAATACCGAAAGAAGTCAATTACTGAACTTGATTATCCATCCTGTCATCGCAGACCATCAATCATTGTTGGTCTTGCTGAATGATCTACAAACCCTGTTGCAGCATGGCTCCCTTGGCCCCAAGCCAGCTTCATTCCAAGCTTGGGTTCTTGGACAGTTCAATGACTCCCAGCGACGGCCTTCCGATAATACTCATTTTGCATCGTCACGCACAATCCAGACTGATTTCAGTGGGTATTGGGGTTTGAAACATCAATCCAATACTTTCAGTGGCGTCAAATCCTCTGACATAATAATTGATGCTGACACAACGTCCCTCCTTCTCGGAAAAGCAAACGGGCCACTAAGGACAGAAACTGTTGAAATATTGTTGGCTGCTCTCTGTGGCTCTTTCGCAGATGTGTTTACTGACCGCTCTCCACCGAAGGTGTTCTGTGCAAGAAGCGATCGAGATACCGCGGCTGGTGATAATAACATCTCTAGCACTGTTGGGTGTTTTACAACCATATCAACTATATACGCAGAGGATCATATGGCAGCGTCTTCTAGCATCGATCTTGAAACACGCACAGTAAATACTCTGAGATCGGTCAAAGATCAGCGCCGCTTCGTTCATTCTGGCTTCACGGGGCTTGAGGAGATGGAGATTTTATTAACTTATACTGAAAACACATACCTTGAAACGCCTTTATTTCAACAAATACCCACGGATAAATGTTACGATATCATTCAACACCAGACAAGACAATCTTTCATTGAGGTATCTGCAGAAGTCATCCATGGACAATTAAATGTCAACTTCTTTTACCACAAGGATTTGTTACACCAAAAGGCAATTATTTCTTGGATCCAAACATTCAAGGATTTGCTTAGTTCTTCTGCCTCTATTTTGACGCAAATCAAACCTATACCTACACTATCAGACTTCCCTCTTCTAGCCATCAAAGACTATGCTTCCCTCGACAGTTTGTTTGAACGCTGCAGGTCGCAGATGCAGATCCCAGATATCTCTGCTGTCGAGTCTATCCATCGCTGTTCGCCAATGCAAGAAGGAATTTTGCTAAGCACTTTGCGATCGACTAATATTTACGATGGACAAGAATTCTGGAGGGTGCTCCCAAAATCCTCCAGTGAGAGTATAGACATGTCCAAGCTTGAAGCAGCCTGCAAAAGCGTCATTGGTCGCCACGATATACTCAGAACTCATTTTGTTGAAGTTCATCATGGACGTGCAGCCTTCCTTCAAGTTACTCTCAGAGAAGTCAATCCTCCAGTACGTCTAACAACTTTTAACGATTTGGATGACTTGATGCATCAACCATTGCCGCAACTGCATGATGCATCCATTCTCCCGTACTTTTTCACGTTATGCAAATTAGCAACTGGTGATATTTATTTGCGTCTCGATATCAGTCATGCGATCTCTGATGGCGTGTCAACTGGAATTTTGATGCGCGATCTCCTTTTGGCCTACGATGGCAGACTCTCGCCAACGGGGCCTTCTTACAAGAACTACATGTCCCACCTGGAATCTCAGTCTGCAGAACAAAAGCTTCAGTTTTGGAAAGACAATCTTAAAGACGCAACACCATACCTTTTCCCTCTACTGAACGAGTCAAGAGTTGGAAATCCACCTGTGCACCAGAGCACAAGTGTGCAGCTTTCTACTCAGCAGAAGGATCAAGTGCGCGAGTTCTGCAAATTGCACAATACGACATTAGCAAACTTTATGTCGGCAATTTGGGCAATGGTTCTCCCATGTTTTTCTGATGCCTCTTCTGATACGGCTACTTTTGGTTATCTGGCATTAGGCCGAGATATTCCACTCTCCGGGGTGGATGATATTTTAGGTCCGATGATAACCATGCTGATCCGCAGTGTCAACGTTAATCCTGAAACAACTGTTTTACAACTTATTGAGGATATGCAACAGGATTTCATTAAAAGCTGGCCTCATCAACATTGCTCGCTTGGCGAAATTCACCACGCTTTGGGACTTAACGGCACCCCACTGTTCAATACGATTGTCAACCTAGGCAACGCAGGTGGCTTCAGGAAAACCGAGAACGTGCCAAGTGGTATCCTTTTTGTGCCCGAAAACGTTCAGAGCCGCAGCGAGGTAAGTTCAAATTTTCTCTTTGGTATCGAAAGCAAATTACAAAATTTCTCCTGCTACCTTTGATCCCCTTCCATTAAGACATTTCTTTTTTGAGCCAAAAAGCATCGCTAGCTGAAGCTTACCTCTTCATAGTATGATATCGCCTTCAACATTTTGGATTCTGATGAAGGTTTCTGGTTAACTCTTAGTTACTGGGATCGCTGCCTTTCCGAGGCTCACGCTACCGTCCTTTCGCACACTATCCAGGCAGCTATTTCTTCCGTTCTTGAAAAGCCGGAACAACGCATTTCTGACGTGGCTTTGGTGGACAACTTCCACATGCAACTGATGCAGTCTTGGAATGCAGACATACCCGAACCAATATTAGATTGCATCCATTATGCCTTTGAGAGACAGGTGAAGTTGCAGCCGGAAGCCCCTGCCATCTGCTCCAGCGATCCCAAGATATCGATCTCGTATGAACAGCTAGACTATATGGCCAACAAACTAGCGCACTCTCTGCGAGATATTGGGGTAGGACCTGAGTCTCTAGTACCATTCTGTATGGACAAATCCCCATGGACACCGGTGGCCATGATCGCGATCCTCAAAGCTGGTGGTGCCTGCGTTGCCCTTAATCCAGGTCAGCCGATTCAAAGACTTGAGGGTATTATCAACGCCTCAAACACCGATGTGGTCCTAGTAGCGCCACAGCACAAAGATCTTCTCGCTGGCATCGTCCCTCATATCGTTCTTGTTGGGGAAGAATCTCTAAAGAGCCTTCAACTTTCCACCCAGGCATTTCAACCCATGTCTACAGCTTCTCAAGAAAACCACACTAACCCAGCTTTTGTTATCTTCACTTCTGGAAGCACGGGAACCCCCAAGGGCATTGTGGTTGAACATGGTGCATTTTGCTCTAGTGCGCGATCCCACGCCCCGATTTTAGGCCTACATAGTGGTACACGAGTCTTGCAATTTGCATCTTACACATATGACCTGAGCATTGCCGAGACGTTTACCACTCTGATGGTGGGCGGCTGCATCTGCGTACCTTCTGAGTATGACAGACTGAATCGACTTGCTGCAGCTATTAATGGAATGGAAGTCGAGTGGATGTTCCTTACCCCAACCGTGGCGGCTTTGTTGCAGCCCGAACAAGTGCCCACAGTGAGAACTCTTGTTCTTGGGGGAGAGCATGCAACTCAAAACAACTTCTCATCCTGGGGCGGCCGGCCAGGGATATGCCTCATCAACAGTTACGGCCCGGCGGAGTGCTCCATTTGGACAAATGCCAACGTTGGTGTCAAACCGACGTCAGATATTTCCAACCTGGGACGCCGACTTGGCTGCTCGCTATGGGTTGTAGACCCCCGAAACCACCATCGCCTATTCCCAATGTATGCTCGAGGTGAGCTGGTCATTGGTGGTCCAACTTTGGCAAGAGGCTATCTTCATGACCCGGTCAAGACAGATGCAGCATTCATTCAACCGCCAGCCTGGTTCAGCGAGCACAGCGATAGAGAGAGACGATTTTACAAGTCGGGCGATCTTGTATATTATACTCTGGATGGATCTCTATCTATCCAGGGTCGTAAAGATACCCAAGTCAAAGTTCACGGACACCGAATTGAACTTGATGATATTAATCATAATATGGCCCGGATTCCGTTAATCGAGCACGCCATGACGCAATTGCCACGTACAGGGCCACTAGAAGGTCGTCTTGTGGCAGTAGCATCACTCAAAGAAGACAGACCTCTAGCCAGCTCCCCTCAGCAAACCCTCAAGATCATTAGTGACTCGAATCACATGAAGCATGCCGCCACAAAACTTGGACAGATCAGATCCGAACTAGAAAAACAACTACCTAAGCATATGCTCCCGACTGTGTGGGTTATTGTTCAGAAGATGCCGTTGCTCTCCTCCGGAAAGCTAGACAAACGTACTGTTAATGCCTGGTTGGATGCGATGGACGAAGAGGCATACGCTCAAATAAAGGCAATGTTAACTTCAGATACGGCACCAATGTTGGCACAACCTGAAAACGATACCGAGAGCCTTTTGCAGAAGGTCTGGTCTGAGGTATTGAAGTGTGAATCCTCAACCATTGGGATGACTGTCAGTTTCCTTGGCTTGGGTGGTGATTCTATTTTGGCTATGCGGGCTATATCTACCGCGCGCGCTGCTGGCATCAACATTTTTGTTCAGGATATTTTTAGGCTGAAGACGATCCGTAAGCTAGCCGAGCATGCCAGCATAGCGGGAACAGTCGACCAGCCCATCGCGACGCCTGGATGTTTTACTCTCCTGCCAACCAAGGGACCACAACAGCTTACCCGACTTATCAACGATTGCGTATCAATTTTGCATCTTGATGGAACTGGTGTTGGTATCGAAGATATCTTTCCCTGCTCTCCCATGCAAGAGGGTATCTTAATCAGTCAGGCCAGATCACCGGATCGCTACCATGTGCGAGCACTGTTCGAGGTTTTAGTTCAGCCAACTGAATTGGTTGACGTAGAGAGACTAGAGCAAGCTTGGATCAAAGTAGCTCAGCGTCACCAGGCATTGCGATCCGTATTTTTAGAGGAAGCTTTGGGTGGAGAGGGTATGCTTTAAGTTGTCTTGGACAAAGTCACCGTCCCAGTTCTCAAATTGGAATGCCAAAGGCTCGAAGAATTTTCCGAATCCATTGAGGTGAACCAATATGCCAAGGATGGTCCCCCATACCGGTTTTCCATCTGCAAGCTTCCCTCTGGAGTGGTATATTGCCACTTGTCTATGACTCATGCCCTGGATGATGGTTCTTCCATGCGCGTACTGCTCCGGGATGTGTGCCTTGCGTACGATGATCTACTCCCAAGGGGAGATCCGCCACTCTACAGCAATTTCATATCTTATATTCAGCGACAGCCAAAAGACGCAGGTCTAAAGTTTTGGCAATCATATCTCAACGGGGCTACGCCCACTCACTTCCCGGTGCTCAAGAAACCTGTGTTAGCCGATGCTAGCGAGGATGGCATTGTTGAGCGATGGATCGAAGGAGATAAGACAAGCTCTCTACTTCGACTTTGTGAAGAGCACGAAATTACGATTGCGGATGTGTTCAAGACGATTTGGGCCATAGTTCTGCGCTCGTTTGTCGGCACTGATTCAGTGTGTTTTGGATATCTTGCTTCAGGTCGTGATGCTCCTATCTCCGACGTACATAATATTATGGGACCTCTTATCAATATGCTGATATTCCACACCCATATTGATGAAACTAAGTCTCTCTTAGAACTTTGCAAAGAAGCAAACGACTCGTATCTCGAGGCACTACCACATCAACATTGTTCGCTCAAAGAGATTCTACACGCGGTCCGGGGACCTGGACAATCTGCTGCTCTTTTCAATACAGTTGTGAATGTGCAGAAGGGAGTAACCGCATTCTTTGTCGATGAGCAGGATTCAACAGCTCATCGAACTATCGATCTTCGTAGTCGTATCTTTCATGACCCAACCGAGGTATGTCTTCCTGATTCATCTGTTACCTGCCGTTGGCAACTGAGCATCGTAAATAGCGTGCTAACAAAAGCGGGTGCGAATATAGTATGAGCTGAGCATCGATGTGCAAAATTTTGAGAGTTCGATTGTCATTCTGATGAATTATTGGACATCTCTACTATCAGTGGAACAAGCCAATCGGCTTGCGGACCTTGTTGTCGCTGTTGTTGAAAGGCTTGTAGACGATCCGATACGAACTGTCGGCGAACTTGAACTCCGCACCAGCGGTGACGCGGCTTTACTGTCTAGCTGGAACCATGCACCACTAGTGGAAGAGGGCCGGTGTCTTCATGAAGTTATCGAGGAGCAAGTTGCTTCTAAACCCGATGCGGTTGCTATTGTCTCCGACGAAGGCTCTCTTACCTTTCATCAGCTCGATGGCATGGCTAACAGACTTGCCCATCATCTGGTTCAATTAGGTGCAGGCCCTGAGGTAATTATCCCGTGCTGTTTTGAGAAGTCAATTTGGGCCATTGTTGCCATGCTAGGTGTGCTGAAAGCCGGTGCTGCCTGCGCCGCTCTTGATCCGGCCCATCCTTTAGAGCGCCTGCAAACAATCTTAAAGGATACTCAAGCACCATTTATTCTTTCATCTTCTTCTCAAACTGCTCTTGCAGCACAAACAAATCTACAAGCGGTCGTAGTCACGGAGGAGACACTGAACAAGCTGTCTTTTTGCGCCTCTGCTCCAATCACTGATGTCAAACCCGACAACAAAGCATTTATCGTCTACACTTCTGGAAGTACTGGGACTCTAAAGGGTACTATACTTGAGCATCGCAACCTATACGCATCCTCTCGAGGGTTCGGCATGTTTGGCATGAACAGTGAATCCCGAGTGGCCCATTTCTCTTCCTATGCTTTTGATGTTAGTATCGGAGAGACGATTCTCGCGCTGACACACGGCGCTTGTGTGTGCATCATATCGGAAGAGGATGGACTTGGGGATCTAACATCAGCGCTGAACAGACTTCAAGCGACGTTTACACAGTTGACACCAACCGTGGTACGCACCTTAGAGCCGAGCGAACTGCCGTATATGAGAACGGTAGTGACGGCTGGTGAGCTTCTGACAAACGACATTATTAACAAATGGACCGACAAAGTTCAACTTTTCAATTCCTATGGGCCCTGTGAGTGCGCGATCAATTCAACCGGGACCGATTTGCTCAAGGCGGATGCCCGAGGCGCTGTGATTGGAAAACCTCTGCAGTCGAGGCTTTGGATAGTGGATCCCGAAAACGATCAACTACTCGTTCCTCCAGGGGCAGTAGGTGAATTGGTGGTTAATGGCCCAATTGTGGGACGCGGTTATCTAAATAACCCCGATAGAACTAAGGCTGCATTCATGGATATGCCACGATGGGCCAACGCCTCCGTACCCGTTGGTCGATTCTATAAGACTGGAGACTTGGCTCGCTGGACATCTGACGGCAACATATACTACCTAGGACGCAAGGATGTCCAAGTCAAAATTCATGGTCAGAGGATTGAGTTAGGGGAGGTAGAGTATCGCATTGCAGAGAAAGCAGGATGCACATTCAAGGCTGTCGTGGCAGCCGTCCCAGGCGGCGGCAGGCTGAAACAGCGATTAGTAGCCCTCTTTTCTGTTGGTGATTAGACACTATATCAAGGAGGGGGAATATCCGTTATCGACGATGTCGACCTTAAATCGAGGTTGTTGGCAGAGTTTGCCGATATTACTGAATCGGTAAAGAAGAGTTTGCCGCGGCATATGGTTCCCAGTCTGTGGATACCAGTCCACAATGTGCCCAAACTGCCTTCTGGAAAGACCAATCGTCGCTTCATTAGTCAATGGCTTGAGGAGATGAGCCAAGAGCTGCACACGGAATTGACTACATCTTCGCAGCCGAGAATTGTTCCTCCAAATTCCGACATGGAAGCAATGCTCCAGAGGATCTGGGGAGATATCCTTCATCTCGACTCGAAGAGCATCAGTACAGACCAGAGTTTCTTCTCACTTGCTGGCGACTCTGTATTGGCTATGCAGCTCATGGCTCACTGCCGTGCTGAGGGTGTGATTGTGAAGGTGCGGGATATCTTCCAGTACACAACTATTGCATCCCTGGCCCCTCGTTTTACTCGTGAAATGGGCGAATTGTATGGCGTATCAGGTGAACATATGCCGCAGAAAACTATCATTGAAGCTGAGCAAGGGGACCTAGATTTAGATGACGTGTCAAACATTGAAGCCGTCTACCCTTCTTCACCGATGCAGCGCAGTATTCTAACAATACAGGAAACACAAAGGAATGCGTGGTTTGCAAGCTTCATAGTAGAAGCCGAATTGCCCACTCAACATAGACCGACTCAATTGGAAGACCTCACCATGAGTTGGCAAATGGTTGTCAATCGGCACTCTATAGTTCGCACTGCATTCAGAACTGGGAAACACACTGATCGGTACTACCAAATCAAGCTGAAGAAGTTCTCAGCTCCCGTTTCCTACATTACGGATGCTTCATCTGCTGATCACACATCTATTTTCAACGTCTCACCTAATATCCCCGAATTTGGATTACCGCCACATCACCTGGTTCTCGCAGAGGCCACATCGGCAAAACGTGTCTTCATTCAGCTACAGATTAGTCACGCCCTGTATGACGCCGTGGGTATATCAGTATTATGGCATGATTTCCAGGTCGCATACTCTAGCGTCCGGGGAGGTGGTGTTGCTCTGGACAGCATGCCTGTTTTCCCTTACCAAAATTTCATATCCTACATTGACAATCTGCCCAAGCCAAGTGCTCTCAACTTCTGGAAGAATCACTTGGACGGCTTTTCACCATGCTTCTTTCCATCTCTATCCTATGAAAGGTCGGACCAAGCCGCTGGTGCGGCAGGGCCGTCATCTGTGCCAACTCCTCTTCTTTATGGGTCATTCAATAGCATTGCGATCCCTATCAATAGGATTGATAAGATTCGCGCATTTTGCAAAGAGCAAGCTGCTACGACTGCCAACCTATTTCAGACTGCATGGGCTCTCGTACTTCGTCAATTTACCAAGTCAGACGACGTAAGTTTCGGATTTATGCTCTCTGGACGCGATGCTCCCCTACCCGAAGTCGATACCATCTTGGGTCCTCTCATAAACCTCCTGCCTTGTACAGTTAAAGCTAGTGACCACAAGACTCTTCGGTCCATGTTACGGGACTTACAATCCAACTACGCCGAAACACTGATTGTAAGTTGCTCTCCAGCCATTTCTGCTCAGATAGACGAAGGAGAAAAGAATTTGGATACTAACCCGTGGAAAAGAACCAAAATTGCTCCCTGGAAGAGATCCGCATCGCCCTTGGGGTTGAAGGGCCATTGTACAACACATTTCTTAATATGCAGCGAGTGACAAGACAATCGCCTTGCTCGCAGAGCAGTATCCAATTCAAAGAAATTGATGCGTTTATGGCAGATGAAGTAGGTCACCGTTTGAATTCAAGAATTCGTGCAATAGCTAACCCTCTTGTAGTATGCTATCTCCGTTTACGTATCGGATGTTGGTGATGATGTATTTATGGAATTGTCGTACTGGACGTCGATCCTCAGCGACGAAGATGCGAAGATGATTGGCCAGGCTTTACTTAAAGCACTAGATCTTCTATTCGATGCTAAAGCAACGGATGTTATGTTGAGTCTGACATTATAAGACAAGGAATATTTGTTTCAGACAAGGATACTCCGTAAATAGATATTAAAACATCAGTTAAGACTAAATCCCTTGCCGTAAGAAATATATACCAAAAGCATTTCCCGTCGATACTAAATTATAAGTTTCGAGTGCACATATTAAATACAATTCAAAGCAAAACTGCTGTTGGGACTAATCACCATGCGACAGCACTCTAGGTGTGTAATGATCAGTCATATCAGTCATATCTTTCAGCCAAACAGGGCAAAAAATTAGACCAATAATATTAATTGTAGCGATTATTGCGACGGAACAGGCCGTAATCGCTGTTCCGATGATTGACCGAATCGTAACAAGGAACTACTCCGTAGATGCTCGCTGAAAGCGAATTGAATTAGGCGAACTTTCGCTAGTGCTACCTATACTTGGATCGCATTGCATACCCCCTCAGGAACACTAGCAAGACTAGCCACACTATTGATCAGTTAGCGCTGCTACTAGGTACTCAACCCTTTGGCACTTCTGCTGAATATCTATATCAAATACGTATGATGCTGGGTCTGTGGACCATCAATACTATATGATATGCCGCCAATGTAACGGCCGCCTCTCTAGCTTCTGGAACTGCTTACCTATGCTGATATTCTACGTGGTGGCCAAAGGGGTTGCAACTAAATCGCCTATTTCATAGTAGGTTATATGCGCACAGCAATGTCTCGGTGGATGCCGTAGTCTCGCTCATGGAAGGGAGAGCCTGGTATTACTTGCAAAAAGGCTTCCATTTAGATACCACAGACGCATTTGACTAAATTATGATACTCAAAACACTACATGAAATAGTGGCATACACATTGCAGGGTATATATCGCTTGGTGACATTGCGTACCCTTTTTGCCGACTGCAAATATATAATACCCATAGCTACATCCAGGTCTTCAAACCTTTACATCCATGGCTGCTTTAAACTGTACATTATGTCTTCTCAAACCTTTTCTATGTTGTTCCTGATAACTTTCTCTGTCAGTCTCACCCAGAATGATTCTGGAGTGGTTGCTCTCGCGAACTTACTAAAGTTTGCCATACATACGTTAAGAGAGTGATCCTGTAGGGTAATGCTTTGAAACTACTGTATTTATATTTTCTATTTTGATTGCGCTTGTCCTATCTTCTTAGATTCGCCTTGCCAATCCACGATCATGACTTGTACCTGTACTAATGAAAAACTGCAAAATGACGTGATTATCTCCTTAATCAGTCGCTGCTCGATCAAGTAATTGCTTAGTATGTGCCCACATATTCTTCCTCTATAAGTTATACTAACTTGTCGAGGTGACAAAGAACGTCACTAACACGAGCTGAGCCAGGAACACGTAAGTATCTCCAAACGTTTTCCGAATGCTATTCGCTGTGCTTATTGTTATGTGCTTTGCTTACAGGATTGGGCCAATCTCAGTCAAGGCACTAACAACTGGTTTACGCCTGGCTACCCATATCAGCGAAGTGCCAAACACGATCCTCATCGCCGAAGCTTAGGGTTAGTGGTGTGGGTCGTCATATTTGGACGCTGATTTTTGATCAAATTAACAATTTTGGCAAGTCCTTCTTTGTGATAGAGTAACTCTACACGTTTCAGATGGTATCGTGGAAATTGGAGTTGCTCTTCTTTTAGATTCGCATCTTCCCTACTTCTCTAGTAGGACACCTTCTCTTCGGGACAATTATGTTCACCACCGCATATGGTGCTGCCTTTTGTCCTTGTGATTGATCTACTATGTAACCCAATTTATAACATTGAACAAAGTGGGATAACGAACAAACAGGCTCGTACTAAAACGTCAACACCACTGCGTGGTATAATGCGGCCATTAGCATCGCTCTCGATTTCTGGATGCTGGCCATTCTGCTGTAGCAATTTTTTTTTTTTTTTTTTTTTTTTAAAAAAAAGATGCTTCCAGTTAGAATGGAGACTCAAGATTGGCGTAGGTGTAATATTCCGCGTTCGCGCTTGGTATGTGTTTCTGTCCTTCCCCTTGAGAAGTGTGCTAATTCTCTTCAGCGTTAATATTATTGTCAGCATCCTGTGACTCAAATCACTTATTAGTTTTGGTAGCAATTCAAAGAATCCTGCCTAGGATTTATTTGGTATCGGCTTGTGGTCTACATTAGAGATCAATGTGGGCATAATCTGCACATGCATGCCTTCTCTCCGACTCCCTCTTATCTAGCATTTTCGCCGTCTCTTCAGCGCAACACAGCAGGGCTACATTCAATAATCCAGCGGTGATACACATCGAAGCCTACCTAGGGAAATACCTTTCCTAAAACTCTTACATCTCGCAAGCTCAGCAAGGGTACCCCTCTGAAAGGGTCAGAAATGGTATCCCACGCAAACAGTTGTATACAGTTGAGTTTAGTGATAATGACGAGATAAATCTAGTGCAATTAAGATCAGGCTATGGAGGGCGCTAGGAGTGAGAGATCGGATATGTCGTGAGTATATGTCGGGGCTATAGGGTGTTTTATTTCGATGTTCAATAAATCGTCTTTGAACACATCTATGAGCTGCCAGTATTATATAGTTTTGGGGAATACAAAAGAAATATTGTACTGTCTTGGCGTCGTATCTTATCTGGCAATTTTTTACCCCTTTTCCCCAACTAAGATAGCTGATGTAGTATTATTTGCTTCTTCCCATGAACAGAAATCCAATTTTGAACTTTGTTACATACTAATATTGTGTCTGTACTCATCCCCTATTTTTCTCATTAAATTTTAGGTTCAATAGAGAAGAATTTAGTTAGAAATACAACTTAAGTACCTCAATCCATCGATTGGCACAAGTTTTCCATGGGTAGCTCTCGTATTAACCCGCAGCTTGAAAATGTCACTGTGTTTATCGACCTGCTTTTCAATTTATGAATTCCATGCGTGATAATAACGAAAGTGTTGGAATTAACAACTTAAAAAATTAAGAAAAAGCGTTGGAAAAGTAAAAATAAGGTCAGTGCTACCATTGGGATCATTAGTTGGGTTCAATCAATACATGCAGTCTTTACTCCGTAGTGCAGGCTTAGTCTCGAGTGTAAGGCTGGAATCAAATTACCAGCATCCAAGGCGGATGTGATTTTCAGGGGTTTGCAGATCTGAGGCTAAGCTAGGGTTTGATTCTTCACTGCCAGCAGTTTGTTATTAGCCTTAGGGACGGAATCGGCAACAAGGGAAGTGGCATATCGATAATTGATGATGAGTGGATTCTATTATTAAGAATATAGCGGCAAGCAATCTGGCGCTCTTTCATCCGTGATTAACCGTAACTAGGCGGCTATGCAAAACGATCTAAACGCCACCATTTACATAACACAGCGACAGGATTTTCAGCCACTTCGGCAACATTATTGATTCCTGTGGAAATTCTTTTCGTATCTTCTGCAAAAATCCTGATGGGTGTGGCTCAGGATTCTGGTAAAATATCTAATTAGCCGAGGCGTGTTTATTCTTAGCTGCACGATAAGCGATCCAGCAGCTAAGAAGCTGAACTCCTTTGAACCCGCTGAGATTGGGCGGAAATGGGTGGTTGGCCGAGGCAGGATGGGAGAATGCTTCCAAAATTTCGTAGTGGCTGCACTAGCGCCGCCTAACTACGTTTCATGTATGTCTGTTAGTATACCCAACGCACATACTTTTTCAGAGTCAGTCACACTAACGGTTTGCCCCTTGCAGGTGATTGATGAAATTAACGAAGAATACTAGTATAAACTAGGCCATTATGAGGAGGATGCCAACGGTTTGGTGTCTAAATCTGGTACTCTATCCGAAGCTTGCCTCATACAGCACGAATTTCTTCAAGCGGGGATTTAAAGAGTTTGAAGTAGGTAGTGCCTGGATTGAAGCTGCTTCAGAATGGGCCGCCCTGAATTTATCTTTTACATCGACATAGATTGATAGATCTGCTTTTATTGACACGATTAACCATCCGTCTGCTATAATTATTATCAACATTTAACTACACAATGCCTGAAAATCGTGGCCCACAGGTGCTAGGGGTTGTTATTTCATTTTATATCTTGAGTGTAATAACAATCAGCCTTCGGTTTTATACTCATGGCGTCATCCTCAAGCATTTTTTTGCCGAGGATTATATCTGCCTAGCTACATTGGTAAGAGTTACCGTTGCAATTATTATTACAGAAGAACCAAGCTGCTAAAGCCGCATTACTCACAGGTGCTTTATACTGCTTATACGGTCGCCGGTATTCTCATAGTCAGATGGGGACTTGGCCAGCACAATGTGGATGTCCCCCCAGAGTGGGGACCGGTAGCGATAATGTATCGATGGATAATTTCTTGGCTCTACATTATTATATCGCTGCTCACAAAATGGATTGTCGGCTTATTTCTCTTGCGTATCTGTCCGCGCAAGCGCTGGCGACAAATTACGATTTGGTCCCTCCTAAGTCTCGTTACCGTTTTCAGCACGATATATTTCTTTATCGACATCTGGAGCTGTCAGCCAATAGACTACTTATGGAAGAGTTATTCTAAGAATCCACCTAAGGATGGGACTTGCAATTCGGCAGACTATGTGTCGATTTTCACATATATTTCCGCTTTTCTGAATATCATCGCAGATTTCGTTTTACCGATTTTACCTGCGACTCTAGTTTGGAAAGCCCAAATCGCGCGCCGTGAGAAAGTATCAATCATTGTCCTACTCTGTTTAGGTTCTATGTTAGTCTTGGCCCATATATTACTATTAGCATAGGTGGTTTCCCACTGGGAGAAGACAACCCTACTAACCTGTCATAGAGCCTCTATCGCCACTATTGTTCGAATTCCTTACGCCAAAGGCATGATAGAAAACCCAGATTATCTCTGGACAACCACAAACCTAGGCATTTGGAGTACGCTGGAGATCGGCACTGCTCTAACTGCCTCATCGCTTGCAACTCTCAAGCCGCTGATGAAGCGAATACGCTTCTTTAGTAACTTTTCCGACCTAAGTGGTTTAGGATCAGCAGATCCAGCTCTTCCCGGAGATTTGGCGGCGTCAAGGCAGGTTTCTTCACGTGTTGGAACTTCTGGCCACAGCAATAATCAAGCAGTGGTTTCTGGTGATGTAAGAGAGGAAGAGCAATGGAGAGACAGATGGGACCAGAAAGACTCAATGGATGTGGAATTAACTGCTATGACTAGACAAGCATCTAGCGCCCATCAGAGTCAGGATACTGATGTCGAATTGGGCAATGTGGGTGCTTGTGAAATTAACAAGACATCCTGGCTTAGAGGTTAATCTCTCAATAATTGTATCGCTGTTGTACTCTCTCTTTATATATCCAGATTAGCACTTACGCGAGGCAAGGGACCTTCACGTAATACATATGAAAGTTATTCCCTTATCTTGCAATCTATAAATATGTATATTCACAAGCCCGTATCTATACTTGCACTCCCTTAAACAAAATCAAAATCCCAATTATATACAAAGCCAAAAACTGAATGTCTACAGATTTACTTTTACTTCCAGAATTTTGAACTGCTTCCGTTGAGACGTAGTTGTATGCCATAGTCGCAACAAAAGCTGCCAAAACATCGTCCAAGTCCGATTGAGCAACTGCATCAGTGTAGCTCTTTGCGCGCCATGTGGCATCCAACGGGTCAGCAAGAATCAGGTCCGATTCGTTGTAGCCCAGTCCTTGAATGGCTGTGATGTTAAACGCATCCATCATCGCATGATCTTCGTGAATGGCGTTGTGGCAGTGGAACATGTACAGGCCCTCAAACGGGGCAAAGGTGACTGCTATCGTAACCGTTTCTTTCGGGCCAAGCACAGCGACATCCTTGAGGGCTGCTTTCTCATAAGACTCAACTGTGTTACGGCCGTTTGAGCGAGACATGATCTGGAAATCTACCATGTGGATGTGAATCTGCAATTAATCGTTAGTACATCAGTATGTGATGCCGTATTTATGTAACATACCGGGTGGCTCCAATAAGAGTTGTGGTTCTCCAGTACCCATATCTCCGTGGCTCCTCTTTGAGGCGCTGCAAGAACTCTGTTCTTGACATCGGTAAACGGTACACCATTTATCACCCACTCGTCATTTCTATTTCTTATTAGCGATGGCCAGTTTAACAGAGTATACAAACTCACTGCTTATCGAAGTTGAATGTACGATGAATAAAGGTACCAGGTGATGGAGAGTCTCTTGAGACTAAGGATGACGGGGGCGAGTTGTTGTTAATGTTGGAAGAAACCGCAGATGCTACATTGAATTGCATCACGAGATCAGTCTCTTGGAAGTCAATCGAATCGAAAACATTTCGTTCGTTCATGAGAGTTAAATTGCGATCTTCATAACCTGAGAAGTCAATGATAACTTCCCACCTCTCTGCCATGGCAACAGTCAACGTGGTGGTTGTTACCGTGGCATTCATGAATCCAGAGTCTGATGCAACGACTTGAAGTGGCAGTACTTTTCCGCTGCTATTATCCAATATGCTAAGGACAAAGGTCCGGCTGAGAGCTGTGTTTAAAATTCGAAATCGGTATTTTCTAGGCTCAACCGATAGGAACGGCCAGGGTTGTCCGTTCACTTCGATAATATCACCATACAGGCTGCTAGTCTCGCCAGCGACTGATGTAAGATTACCAGCAGAAGTATATTGTTTTGAATTGAGCGCTAGGGGAATGTCATATTGGTCTTGAGGGAGGCCAAGTTGGGTCTCCACCTCGGCATCTTCGATAATGTAAAAGCCCGCCAAACCACTGAATAAGTTGACAGACGTAATCATACTTGCATGGTCTTTTCATTGTTAGCATTAGATAGCTGGATTGGGTGAAAAGGGGTATGCACCATGGTACCAAAGAGTTCTAGCAGTATTTGAGTTTGGAAAGTAGTAGTCTTTGTACTGGCCCGGTTGAATCAAATCCTCGGCCCAACCATCCCAAACTGCGCGAGTGTTTGATCCATGGAGGTGCAGAACAGCTGGTTGATCTACCGTGCCGATTGGTATTAGATTTGACCCAAGGTAACCCGAAGAGCGCTACGTTACCATTATGATTTACAACACGTATCACACTTTGAACTCCGCGTTGTATCCTAAATGTTGGCCCTGGAGACATTCCATTATATCCTAGAAGGCTAGTTTTGCCAAGATTTGGATATATCTGGGCCTGGAATGATGTGATATTGAGTTGGAAAAAATCGATGGTTACGTTGTTCGTGGAATTATTATACGAGCTATTCAACATAATTAGTTCAATCAAAAATTCAGGGAGCGATATAACTAAATCCCCCGTGGAAAGAAGATACAGGTTAACAAGACGTACCGAAGTGGCTTTATAACTGGGGGTATAGGGAGAGGAAATTGGAAAACGTAGTTATATGGAGGTGATACTCGTGAAGATGAGTCTGACGTGATACCTGATGATAATTCGTGTCCTGATCCTAGTTCGGCAAAAGTAACACTCAACAATTGAAGGAAAAGAGAGAAAATAAAAGGCTTGGTCATTTTGAGGTTGTCTGAAGGGCTGTTTAGCAATACATATCCGGGCGTGGCAGCGGTGTCGTGGGTGAGAGCAGATATTTAAGCAACAATGCCATAATTAAAGTAGTACAAATGAATTGAAAGAGCAATTAGAATCTACTTTTATACTGTAGAAATATAGTAGAGAACTGCCAATTGGGAATATTATGGCGCGTCGACTACGTAAGCTACCGGCCCTAGACGGGTGTGGACTCGGCCGAGTGGATGGTAGTATAAAAATGGCAAATTTCTTTCCCGCCTAGGAATTAGGCGTGTAAAAGAGTATTGGAATTATATCTATGTTCACCCCTTGAATCAGGCACCTGGGTTATTTCACACACAAGATTAGCAAGATCCATATTTAAATATACTGCTTAAACCCCTTTACAAGTAGAGTTATCTCACTTATTATTGCCGAAGTATGATACCCTTTCTATTCATATGCCTTGTTCAATATAATAGCAAATCCTAACCCTATATGCGTATTTTATTATGTTATAATAACATGTCAATATTATATCAAATGCACAATAATAGCTAGTCATCATTGTGTTACACTATTCACTGGTTGTTTTAATATTCATTTTGATGTAGTTACGCAAGTCTACGGGCCGTTATATCGGTACATGCTATCTAGCTTACTGCATTTGACAGTGCAGGGAGCATCGCCCACTACCTGAAAGCCGAAACACAGGGAGGCTAGCGAAAGACGGTGTTAGCAACCTGTAACAACAATACACTTGGCCAGTCGCTACTTACTGGGCTATTTCAAATCTCTTTCTCACTGCTTAGCCAGTTCAAGGCTAAAGAAACAGCAAATAGCATGCAGTGCGGAGGGAATAACCAGTGTATCCCTAATCGATAGCCCCATATTGGAAGCGGCAGATCTTCACAATTGTAGTGACGGACGACAAATCCACATATCGCGAACAAGATTGATAATAAATAGAGTTTTGCAGACATTTCAGAATATAGTATCCCAAACTACCTGCTCGTGGGTTGGATTGGCGGTTGTGTACCTAGTAGGCAGAGTTGTAACGATTTTTATTGGACTGAAGAAATCCAGTAAAGCTTCATTATCGAAGGATATATTGTGTATATATATACGTTACGCATATAGTATTGTTATAGCTGTGTAAGAAAATTCATGGCATCATCGCAATCCGCTAGAGCGCTGGGCTGTAAGAGCCTACCGTAAGAGACCGGCTGTTAACGGGTTGTATACTCGGCCGACATCATCAAGAGTGCCGTGGTTGGCTGTAGCGCAGGATTATTTGCGATAGCCCAATAATTCCATGTTTCCTGATGTCACTTTGTTTGAAAAAGCATCTTCTTACGAAACAGATTCCAAATACTTTGGTCTTTATATTATATATGAATCGAAACAGAAAGAAGAGATGCCACGCGTCCACAAGTCGAAGAGATCGCACCTGTTGGGCTGGGGAACCCAATGTCAGGCTACAAATCAAGCTAGCAGTTCACCCCTCAAGCAAATCTAAATCCGGCAAAAGTTTTAGAACCGAAACTAATAACATATGTCCTATTCGAAAACAGGTAGAGTAATGTACTTCATTCTCCCAAATCCCCACACATTCTTGCAACGTGTTCAAAATTATACGACGCGGTGGAACTGTGAGTCCTGCAGAAAGAGGCGCCTCACGGTGGAGCAGATGCAGGCAAACGGTCAGCATTGCGGAGAAAATGTCGAGTTTGAAGAGACGGTTAAGGATGCTTGTGTTATCCGCCTTGTTTTGCTCTGCTAGATCTCGGTGATGCACCAGAATTGCTAGGCCGCATTCCAGAGAAGCCCAATACGAAACTTGGTAGTCAAGCGGGGCGCCAGGATGTAATGCGTGAGAGCGGTGCAGCACAAGGAGAATACGACGGAAAAAGATATCCAACGTCATGTAAAGCCTCGGCTTGCCGTGGATGTTGCCCAATGAGGTATCCATGAGTTGCCGCACATGGTCATTATGCTTCACAACTTCGTTGTACAGTGGCTTTTCAGTTTCGCTGGTGATTCTGGAGATTATGTGGCATATTGTGGGGTAAACATCAATTAACATTACCCATGGGTCATTCGTCCTGAAGATGGATGTTGGTGAACGTTCAGTGAACATATCGGCTGATACAAGCAATGGTTTTCCTGTAATCGCAGCGACTTGTACGCAAAAATATACGATGATAGACCATAGTGTTTGTCTGGACTGCCAAGCAAGAACCTCCTCACGAGAATGATGCAGTGGCGCAGGCTGCCTATGCAAACCCATTCCCACGGCTGCACGCGTGACAATCCCCAGCAATGTCCAGCACGAATCGAACGTACGACATGTGGTATTGACCGTTTGCTTAGCAAGTACCATAAGGCAAAGGGTTCTTATGGCTAGAATGTCTGGTTGAATCATGAAAGGAGTCCGACTCAGACAAGCCTCAGCTGCCATGCAGAGCTCCGATGTTGAATGCTCATCCCTCGTCACGGCAAAACACCCCAGTGCCAAAACCATCAAGAAACAGGCTACCCAGGTCATATCTGCTGCCATGGGATCATTCCAGAACCTCTCGATCATAGGTAGAAATGTAGAAGTGTCAATAATGGGGATACCTGCTTGGTAGAGGGCTAAGTAGCCATCCATGTAAGATTGGCATGCTTCTCGATGGCGTTGGAGTAGGTCCTGGATAGTATCCATGCATAAAAACTTGGCAGCTGATGGACTATTTAATGGAAAATTCCCAGGCAACACAGATTCGTCCAGAATTCCGGCCTTTTGCTGGCGAATCAAGTCGGCGATCATGTGGCAGACTGGAAGATCTTTACGCCCAGCTTGTAATTTTAGCTACAATTGCATATAGTCAGTTTCGTACAGTTAAATGAGCCCATAAACCGAATACCTACTGTGGATAAAAGTTCGCTCCAATGGGTAGCACTCCGACTCTGTGCATGCCATGACTTGATGACGCTGTTGGGTTCTTGCATCGTTTGTTGCGGACTGACATCTGGGGATAGGTCGGCTTTTTCTGCTCTGTGGTGGTACTCACAAAACTTTCCCCAACCGGACAAGCGACATCGTGAGCAGGGCAGCGCCTTGTCACATTTAACCTTGAGTCGGCGGCATCGTATGCAAGATAGTTGGGCTCGCTGCCTCTTCCTGACAAGGCTAGGCTGTTTATCGCTGCTGTTTCCTTGGTGCTGGTGCGCATGACGTTCAGGGCGTGAGAGCTCTACCTCAGGTTGTGGCAGTGAAGAGTCAGACATTTGAGTCGGCGGACAAACACCAAGGGAACAGGAGACATTCGCTCTGGTGCACCGCTGGCATGACGGCTTCGATTGGTCGCATTGAAGTTTGAGCAGCCGGCAGCGATTGCAGGTCCTGATCTCCCTCCGAACTCTCCTGGCAGGCATGCTGCAGCACTAGTAGGCGGGGGATAACAAAAAAGATCTTTTTGGGGCATATGAAGTCCCGTGGTTGAACTCGGAAGAGGAGAAACAAAAACTACTTGAAGTGTACGCTTAGATCCGCTGTAGTGTACATGAATATCAATCCAAAGGTGGAAGATGAGTTAATATATTACAGACCACCTAAATATTCTCTCCTCTAATCCAATGTCTACTCTGGACTGCTTAGAGTAATATTGGCTTCGGCCGAGACAAATCCCGCTTACTGCCGATAGCTTACGACGTTAACCCCATAATATTTCCTCCCAGTAGCGGATAGAACGGTCCTGCTGTCAGCAGCCAGACACACTAACCCTATACAATAGATAGGTCATCAGCATTTGAGGAATAGGGTAATGAGAAAAGCACTGATCATAACTAACATAAACATAAGTTCTTCTCTTCTACTCCTTAGGGGAAGAAGGACGACATTCCCTCACCTCAGCTGTTTTCTAGATAGGTAGTTAAATCATCTTTACCTGTGATGCGTTAGCGCTTAGATTGTATTGCAATATATATGCAAATTAGCAATAGATATTTGAAGAGAAGATTTCGGTATTAAGGAAGTGAATTTGGAAGCCTTACTCCTCAGATTTCAATATACAATTCTCTATGCCATATGATGCTCTTGTATATTTCTATATCCCGTTCGTTTAGAACATGAATCATATGCTATTTCGTTTCTTCGCTATTCAAACGTTGTGATTGCTTCAGGTACTAGTTTTATGTGCTGAAAATGAGGCGAACGATGTGCTAAACATACAAATTTTCTCAAGGGAAATCTATCCAGACGTGTCTCATAATATAAAGACCCTACAGCCAGCTTGCTTGGCAAATGTTCTCAGTAGTTCAGCGAAAAATATTTCAGATAATTTACGGTGAGAAAAGTCTATTAATTAGCGAATATTTAAATAATTGTTATGGTACAAGAGAGTTCTGTATTGAGGAAGGTGAACGATATAAAATGTATCTCGAGTGATAGTTGGGTTTCAGGCAGCCTCTTGGAGATTATTTCTCTGGGGTAAATCATATAAAAAACAATATTGCTATTAAAAGTTAACTATATCTAATGTTGAAATTAAAATTAGGTATAATTGTGTAATATATATATATATGTATATATATTTATTTATTTTTAGAAAACTAAAACTTTAACGTAGCACTTGCAAGCATTGGCTAAAAGAACGGTAACTATGAGGTCACATTACCTCCCCCTACCTAGTACACGTTTATATATTTGGTAGTTACCTCTCCAGAGGTTTAGTAGCTATCAAGTGATCCTCATATATCACTTGGTCCCTACGTGCTGTGACCTTGGTGTACCGATTTCATATAATCTACGCCAAACTAACGCATTATAATATAGTTCACATGGTAAGAGACAAGATAACATATACTGTGGTCGACTTGGAAGATATCCCTTGGAAATTCGCATTAAACGCTATTCTAATACGCGAGACAGAGATTGCAATTGCCGCAGCCATAAACGGTTATAAAATAACTAGTTTGCAAGGCAGAATATCATTTTGTAGCACAAAGCAGCGGCTAGCCAGAGAAAAGTTTAGCGCAAGGAGTAGTTATTGCGATAAGTAGAGCTCAAAATATATAACGTGATTTGGTTCTTTGCTGCAGATCGACCCCTTATAAATAGTTGGTTCCATCACAGTAATTATTACAATTACAAGTATTTGCCTCATCTTTGCCCTGTTAACGCTACAGGATGACTGATCGTAGGATTAAGTATAAATAAATTATGATTTGAGCTCTATTTACCGCAGATAAATATGTGGGTTATCGGTTGGTGCGCGCTCACGCACTAGGCTGACCACTCTGCTAGTAGTAAGACACTGGGATGTTATATAGTACTTAAGGCTTCGGTGGGGTTTTGACTACCTAATTACTAAGTCAATAAAGTCGAGTATATCCTATCGTATAATAAAATATAACTATGTGTAATATCAACTATTGAGAATCCTAATTTCTTTATCACCAGACTTGGCAGTGACTTGGCGCAACTTAAACGACTGGGGCATTTGTTTATACGAGCCGGCTAAAATAGATGCAAGCGAACAGAGGCATATAGCGGATTACCCCTATCATCACCAGGAAAAAATTACAGCCTACCTTCTTGGCAGGCATTTCATCACAATATGTTATCAGGTATTGATCAGGACCGGGCTGTGCTCATTTCTTATCTATTTTAACCCGAAACTTGTAATACTTCTTAGCGAAGCCGTGCTTGGTAATAACAGACGGGCGTGTAAGAACAGTTAGTGAATTATCCTAGCCATCTATATACTATGAATAATCGTATTTTGGCTACTGCGCAATTTCTTCAACATATAGAACCTAGTTTAACCATGGCAGACCTCCTCATTTTTCCTGTCCCCGCTGTGGCGACAGGTTGAGATCACCATGAGCTCCACTGTGATAGTGAAGATTTTGCATGTCGTTCGGACCATAGTATTGATCCGCCATCTTCTCCTCTTTCACGCCCAGTGGTTTCTTCATGCGATCCGCCCACTTTTTCATATCAATAGTGTTTGTTAAGCGCCAATCAGTAAGTTTTTCAAAGTTAATGCACTTCCGATCGATAGACCTGGGATGATCGTATCAGCGAAAACCACGACGGAAAGAATATCAGAGTAATAGCGTACATGTCTGGAAAGGGATGTTGCAGTTTCTCTACCCAATGAAAAGTTATAAGGTTTGCATTTCCACTGCATTGTATGGCTTGCATCAGAATGTCGATGCAGTGGTTGATGTGCAATTCTCGCAGGGTAACATTATTAGCATCAGGGTTACCCATCGACGTGTTGTAATATGTCCCATAAGCAATCCGTCGGAGCGTATTAACGCAATGGAGCTGATGATAGATATCTAATGCAGTAGCGTAAGCATCATTGCCCAGCCCCCATATCTCTGGATCAAGCTTCACAGCTGTTTCTGGATCTTTTCCAAGGCGGATGATATCCGCACGTGTAACAGGAAATACACGAGTAAGTTCCCATTCTTCCCATGTGGAGTCTGCATCTGAGTTTGGCATCTGACGTGCAATAGAGCGTTCCCTAGGCGTGAAAAGTGTCCCGTTGATCTTTTTTGTTGCCATTTCTAGGTCAACAGCACGGTGGATGGGGCCTATAGAGATATTAACATTTCGGTGACCTTAGCAGCGATATTTTTCTTCACCTACTCCAAGTCGAGCATGCTCGAAGCTCTGTGTTCAAAGTCCAGGTTCGCCAATAAATAGAAGTCGAGAATAGAGATAAAGAAATGATGAAAAAGATAGTGTTGAGGTATGCTATGTAAGACACACTTGAACCCGAATACTGCTTGCTTCTATTTTTGTGAAGGAATTCCTCTTCTTCACTAGTCTCTTCTTCCGGAGACCGCCATCGAATAAGCTGGATCTTGTGATGATACAAGTCTCTTAGCAAGGCCATACTGAATGTAGTCCTTCGCTATAAGATATGTGGTCTTCCTAATATCAGTGATGAAAGTCCTCTGATATGTAGAAGAAGGAAGAGCTACCGGAAAAAATAAGCTCTTGGGTGGTGTCCTTGACACAAATCTGCACAGTAATTAGGCAGGCATTTTATCGAATTCCCAACTCAGTTAAGCAATTAGTGCTAGTACTTTTGCAAGCAGCTGGAATGGTGTGAAGCATGAACGTAGACCATTATGGGCATATTGGATTTAAGCATAGATAAAATAGGAAGGTGAGTCGCAAACTATAGAAGTTGGGATGATAATACGAGTAAATATGGGGACGCACAGGAGGGAAAAGATAACGGACAGTTCTTGGCTAAAGCTAAAAGACGACTGCTCCAGAATCTAAGCTTAAGCGACATGGCGTGATTAACAGCTAGCAAAGTTCAGAAACCCCCACCACCACGTATACTGGGAAGTTGGTTACACAATGTCACGTTTTGCATATAATATATATATATATATAGGACCAATGTTGTGAAGTCATTTAAGCTCCCATTCCATATCATATCAATGCAATCATCTTTAAGCAATCTCCAAGATCTAATCTCAACAAATACGATCATGAAGTTCAACAATGTTATCGTCGGTGGTGCCACCTTGCTTGCAGCTCTTGCTTCTGCCTTGCCAGCTCCAGTAAGTATATTTTAAACTTAGGAAGAGCCAGATATTAATCGTGGTTTCTCAGGATGTAAAAGAGACAGAGAAAAACAGTGACAACGCGGCCGAACCATATAAGCCAAATTACTTCTCCATCATCAAGAAAGAAAGGGTTGAGGCCGATGCTGCCGAGCCGTACAAGCCCAACTACTTCACCATCATTAAGAAGGAGGCTCCAACTGAGGATTAGGCAAGGTTATAACAGGCGGAAAGAATGATAGGCTACTTTATTATGGGTCACTCTAAATAGAAGAGCTTTACTACATGCATCTTTGATATATTCAACATTAGCATAATATATAGAGCACCCGTACGTACTATTACCTTAAACTTCCATGTCACGACTATGTGCCAGGTTCTACTTTTGCTTCGGCCGGAACCTATGTAGCTAAAACCCATTGAAGGTCCACAATCTTGGAATCCTAGAAACCTGCCCAATTCCGGCAATCATCGTGCAAAAACCTTGTTTCCACCAGTCTCCACCAGTCCATCAACAGTTTTCACCTTATATCTACAATAAAGGAGAAAGTGGGTGGAATTCTTAGATGGAGACTTTCATATGATATATGTTTATAATGGTTTTGGGATTAAGATTCACAGTGAAAAACTATATATAATAGAGGCTTATATAGCCTTTTATTGAACCAACTGTTACAGCATTGAACCTCTCATCTTGATATCAAATTTAACCTCCATAATATAGGCTCATACCTCCCAGCTGGCAACTTGTGGCTTCCAGTTTTACATTACCCCAGCACTTGTCCTACACAATACAACATCACTGGGATACTAAATGCGGTATTTAGTAGATGAAAACTCGTGATGGGAATTGTGAATAAATTTGGCCACCATAGTCCTAGGAAATTAGGTACGTCCCCATAGGGCTACTCGATGTAAAGCTCACGTATTATCTTGAATTTGTCATGGCTGGTGTCCCCCATCAACGGCTGTCGACGATGCCATTGCCGCAAAGCTCTCATTCAAGCTTCATACTAAACTCAGCTTTACTGCGTAGACCATCACCAAATTGGAAACTGTCGTCGACATTATCGGACAGAATCTCCAGTCTCCTCTATTACAGATGACCCAGTCCTCAGTTAACTCTGTATGATCAATTTTGATGATATCATAGCTCTTCCTAAGCATACTGTCTGGTTAAGGACACGAAATACCCTTCACGACTAACTTTCCTCAGACACTAGCTCTTCACCAGCCTGCTCGTAGCAAAGCCCACCTAGGGTATACAGATTATCAAAGTCGGCTTGGGGATGGCATTTTGGCATATGTGCATTAGAGTACGGCCCTTGTATTTTTTATCGAGGCAACGGAGAGATTGACGACTCTCCTGGAGGAAACAAGTGATTACCGACGGCTTACCCTCCTGGCAATGGTACAGTAAAGGATCAAACAATTGGTATGGAAGGCCCTGTTGGCTTCTCAATCCTATATCCCACACTTGAACTTGAATTGGACTTCCTGGCTGCAGGCCTCCAATTACCAATGTCGTCATAGTGTTTGGTATGCTTGGCATAATAAATGCCATTTTTATACAAATAGTATCAAAAAAGCCCCGGTGATGATCCACGAAAGCTTTGCTCAGATGTACGCAGTAGTAAAGACGTTGAAAGTGAAGATTGTCCTCTCGATGCCTCCTGTTAGCATTGTTGAGGCTGACTCATATATGTAATACCACCTTGGATGGGATTCATAGGGATCTACATGCAGAAATTCCTGGGAAGATGATCGTATGAATTATGCATGACGTCATTTCTGATTTGGGTGCAGTCGTTAGGCAACTTTGCCGATGGTAGATTCCGGCATATTGTACGTAATGTGCTTGAGCTTCCACACGTTCTTGGCCACTCTAGTGGCTACGTTGGTTGGATTGAGTGTATATCTAGTAGTCTAGATCAAAAGTTAGCAATATGTTCGTGGTATCCCCGAAGCATGTCGCCATGGGTGACCCTATATTAGCACGATCCGCTCGTCTGGGTGCCTAGGCACGCTTGATGTAGTCGATGTACTTGTCAAGATCCGTATATTCATGGGTGTTGCTACACTCAGGTCAAATTTCGTCGAAGGAAATGCCACTGTAACTGTAGAGGTTGTACCCTATGTGAGCGTCTTCCTTGGTCTAAGCCATTGAATCTTCTAGGTCACCCAAGTCCCGTTGTGTCCTTAGTCTCCGCTCGCTTATGCCTAGGTATTCACTACGCACACAACGGGACACCCCTTTACCACAGCCACGGCTCGCATAATCACACAGTTCCGGCCGTTTCCGATGTTGGCAACCAAGATGGGTGCCTTGTTACATGGATATTGGATCAGCCAGTTCTGGACGTCTGAGTCCACAGGTATGCTGATGTAAGACGACACAGCTATTAGCTCAGCTACTGTTGAAACAAAGGGGAATGTTGGATCGCCGAAGAACTCATCCAACGCCTAAGAAAAAAGATTGATTAATTGACGCATTGCGGTAGCGTTACGGTGATTGTTTGCAACTTTTTGTGGAGCAATACCGGAAGAAAGAGAAAAAAGCAGTGCATATACAATATTTCATAACCTTCCGCTCACAAGGGAGCGGTCCATGATCTTGTCGTGTTATGAACCTCAAGTCCATTAACACAGTGCTGTGTAGAGCGTTCCGGACCAAGGGGTAGCCGTTGCTCAATTCAAATAAAAAGGCTATGGCAATGGATATATCGTTGTTCAAACTGCCATCGACCGCCTTTATCAATTCGAAAATCCCAAATATTCTATCGAGATACCTGTGCTATTTTGTTTGCTAATACATTGTCTTTGCGTTTTGCAGTTTCAAATTGTACGCAGTTCCAAATAATTTCGTCCTTCAAGCCGGAAGCTTGACATCGCTTTCGCACCAAATCACTTAGGCGTCTCTAATATATGTTCAGCGACGTGATATCTTCGGCCTGGCTGAAAACGTAAATATTCTGTTCCCAAATACTGGTCCTAACATTGCTGCTAGAACGCTTAGCTGCGCCCTACTGCTATGCCCACACATAGAGCACCAACAAAATTCTCGCATTGACAATCGAGGATCACGCAAAATCTGGTCTACATCTACTATGTAAACTTCTGCGCTACAATTAGCAGCAACACGCCAACCCAAATGGAGACTTGGTCTTCACGCTATCAACACTTTAAACAATGCAAATGCTATGGAAGGGGGATTCACGCTGAAAGCCGTCCGCTAGGAATGGTATACCTACCAGCGGGGAAACATGCCGACTGGATGATGGCACATTAATGTTGTAACAGCATGGGATGTACGGGTGAAGAAATATTTGCAATCCCGCGTTATGTTGACTAGAGATCTGGCTGATTAAAATGGTAATCGCGGGGATGGCCTTTTATTTAGACAGCACCGATCCAGTTTATCATGATGCCGAAAACACATGCACAATGTATTTGAATGGAGCGGATGTTAGTGGCTCTAACTTTGAAGGTTACCCAACAGGACCACCTACATGGCCGCCCCAAAGCTCTTGATCCATTCGATATACAAGGGAAAGCTGAGTTGTGTAGCAAGTCTACGTGATTTCAAGGTCAAGCCCATAAGCTGGGAAATCGCCACTAAGTACGCGATTGGAACGATAACCTCTCTTTCGTTTTCCTGCTCCCTGGCTGGCTAAAATTCGCTGGCGTGATACAAGTTGCGATTGTGGGAGAATGTACAGAACATCTCAACATAAAACTGGCTTGTGGTCGTGTTCTCGATAGCAGAGCGTCGAATGATGCTCTCGCAACAACAGGTTCACCACGCCCTATTATTCCATACTCTGAATGTAATAGATAAGGGGTAAGGAAAACAATTCTAAGATCTAATATATATATATGTGGTTATTTCCGGCGTCAGAAATAAAAAGGGGCGCAGATACTGATAGCAAAATATACCCAAAGGCATAGTAAACCAACCGTTTTGATAAAGTGTGCAGATAAACCAAAGGCATCTCTCAATGCAGCGCTAAGGTAGCAGGACAAGCCATTGGATGATTTAATCTGTAATCTTAGTATTATAACTATAAAATTTAAGTTGCAATAACTTAACCACACAAATAAGGACCAAATTCAGCCGTCACATAGTCCTGTTCATTACTACTGTCAAATACAAAAATCTTATAGCTGCCCCCGCCCAGTGCTACGCGAACTACCACATGACCCTGCTGACTGCACATCTCAGAAGTGAAACGATTATTGAGAAGACAATTCTCCGGCAACATTCTGGTAGCAAAGACGTTGCGTCTCGTCACTCCCGGCCAAGCCCCGAGCATGCGCTGGAGCTGCGCCATTCCAGGATGGGTGACGTGCCAGGAGGGAATAATATAGGTCGCTGCATCAAGCAGGGCAACGAAGCCTGGTCCGCAGGCATCGAAATAGCCATGGTGATTGGCAACGGCGACATTGACTTTACCTGCGGCCTCCGCTACGGGTGTTTCGACGTCCATCCAGGGATAACGGCCGTCATAAGTGTCGCAGGTAAGATCGCCGCCAGTATAGTAACGGAAGAGGCCATAAGACAAGAGAAACGCTATTGAACACTTATTCTCTTCCGGCAGCGCCTCAGGTGGCAGTGTGCTGAGATCCGGGAAAAGCGAGCGGCTCTCTTGCCCTTTGCCGGTCCACACCAAGCCGTTCGCGGCAAGCGTCCGGATGGAGAACGTCGGGTAGTCTTCAGGCGATCGCAACCTGATCTGGCTCTTCGAACCAACGTCGATGCTGGCAACTTCACGCCCTTCCTGCCGCCTTGCATCAAGCCAGGCCAGATAGTTGTCGGTAAATGGGGCTGCCAGTGGTGGCCGGAGGCCGTAATTGGGATAGGCACGATCAATCACAAGCCTCGCCGGCATCTGGTAATCAACGTCACTGAGTCCAGTCATTTGGAATCCGCTATGCATAGCTGTTCTGTCAGAATGAACATCGCCGACGTGGTCCGGGTGTACATGAGTGGCGATAAGATAGTCGAGCGTTGTGCTGGTGCTGTTTCGCAAAGCATACTGCGCCACCAGCTCGCCGGGTCGTCGCGAGCTTTGTCCCACGGAACTATTCTTAGAAGTCCCACAATCGATCAAAATAGTTGTCTCATCTGGTCCAACGATCAGGGTGGCATTACCGCAACCGGTGTCAATGTGGTGGATATCGAGAGTCCCTGGCCTCCACTCAGGCAAAATAGGGAATATTGCTTCTTGTGGCATAGTAGGCGTAAAAGCGCAGGAAATGCGATTCCATAAGTCAAATCGCTTTCAATCTTTGCTATGTAAAGAGGGGGTAGGTATCACGACCCGACCTCTTATGCGGCCTTATTAAGCTACGTACTAGGAATAACAAAGGACCGAGGGACTAATCAGAAGGATGCGGTGACGCACGAGAGCGCTCTATATAAGCAATAGGGCGATGGGCTATATCGCTCCTTAAGAAACCACTAAGCCTGTACCTGGCCCAATTGCTCATACGTGGGCTGCTCAGCTTACTGATCATGAACGCTGCCGATGTTGTATCTACAAAAGATGAGTTGGTGTCATGAGCAGTAAGGTGGCACCGAAAACTGAGATTTGTCTTTGCTAAATGTTTTGACAGCGGTTCCGCGCCACTTGTCTCTCCATGGGGAACCAGCATATCCAGTTCTTCATTTCGCGTGCGTAATATTGTTGAAAATGATGACTTGTATGAATTGGAAGATGCCCCTATGCAAACGAGCCCAGCTATAACAACTAAGAATGTGGCAAATATACCAGTCCCGTATGCAATGTAGAGATTGCGCGGATTGTAGGAATATTCATTCAGGGAAGTCCATGGGGTGACATTCCCTACTGTGCTGTTATCGAGACTACGCCTGGTTCCATTGTTAGTGAATCTTTGCTAAAACCGTCCCCCCCCCTCCTTGAGTTATGAACGAGACTTACAACAACTCCGGGTTGCTGAAGAGACTCAGGGTGATGTTAGATACAAGTTGTCCCAAAGTCTTTGTCATGGTAAAATTTGTTCCCTTTCCCGATTTTACCCCTAGGATGCTTGTTTCTCCGAAGCCTTTTTGCAAGTATTGCATATCGTGAGCCTGGGTTAGGACGGTTGAAAGAACTTGAGTTCGTACTGGCTGTAGAGATCCATATCGCGTTGCGATGATCTTTCCCATTAGAATGCTGCCCAATGCATCCATAATAGATACGTATGCAACTTCAGGGATAATATGGTCACCTTGACCAGTTGTCGTGGCAACACTAACAGGGTTGAGCCTTCTCAAGCTGCGAATGCTGGCTTCTTGTTTGCCGTTCTAGAATCTTAGATTGACATCGTATGACGAATTATAGAGTCTGCATTCAATCGTCCTATTTGCGAACCAGCCGTATGTTGGAAATCCAGCGAAAAACCGGCAACGGGCTTGGTTATCAGCAGAGCTTGCGGTGTTGTCAATAGTAGCCAGGTTGCCGCTTAAGCCGAGTATAGTTTCAGGATCCAAAATTGCCCGCAAACCGCTCAACGTTCTATTCTCCCAATTGATGATAGTATCGCCTGTCTTGTTATCTCGTGCCGTCTGGGGAACGAAGCTAAAATATGTAACTGCTTGATTGGACATTCCCCAGACTGACCCATATGCATCCTCAAAAGTCTTATCATAAGCGGCATGGAATTCGGAACTGCCTCCCAGTGGTCCACAGGATAGAAAAGGGCCATAGAAGGCTAGAGAGTATGAACTATTGAGGTACATTGACTATATGGGGAGAATGGGTCCTTGAGAAGCGACGGCTGATACAAGTCGGGAGACGGCAACCGAAGGGGCAACATACCCTCCACCACCTTCGTTCCCCCCCTGTGCAAATGGATAGGGGCTCGTCGCATTTATTGTAAGCAAACGTTTGATATATGTTGACTCATTGAGCTGCTTAGACGGTTGAACTGTAAGCACCGCTGGGGTGAAGACGGCTACAATAGGTAACGCCCTGCTCCCCAAAATCATACAGATACGTTAGCTAATGCAGAGCCATTGACGATAACTGATGTTGATCAGGAGCGGCAATTGACGTACCATAGTATACCGGCAATTAATACCAATCCAAATCCCTTTTGCCAGAGTTCCAAGGTTAAAAATTCCCAAGCATTGGTGGTCACGTTGAACATGGCGTCTACGCCCTCCAAAGTTGCATGATGTGATCGTAATGTTGCCCAAAGCAGTTGTGTATATGCAAATCCAACTGCAGCCGTCAGACGCGTTTTGACTAAAAATGCCATACCAGTCCCAATACGAATATTCCATTCTTGTTCAATGTTGCTTTGTACAATCCGCGAATTCAAAGATGCGTAGAAAAAATGGTGGCCCAGCGCAAAGGCTATACCACACAAAAGACAGCTGATCATTAAGCTCGGCACGGCCCAATGCGCCTTAAATAGCGCCATCTTCAGAGGAACTTTAGATGAGATTGTCCAAAGCACCACTGGATATTGTGTAGAGAAGTGCTAACATTGCTTATAAATTTTATATGTAGATTTATCCGATATTAGATGTCTACACTTTTTCCTGTAGGAGAGACTGGGGGCAAATACGGCTCTCTGTTGCCTTGCTGCGGTTTGTGCATATTTGCGTACCGTTTGTGTCTACGCTTACTAGCTACATAAGAACATTACGCCGCATAAAAGTTAGATTGCAGCTGCGGGGTTAGGACATGTTACGTTATTTTGATGGAATCACGTAAGTCGTCTGGTGTGATCTGCATTATGGGCAATCGATGGAATCGGGGGACTCCTGGAAATTCTCTGGATGGATGACAAAGTTATCTGGTCTCATCTTTGGTGTCGCGTCTGGTTGCTGAGGGACAAGTGCTGTGTTTGAGGTTGGCTCGATTTGGAATAGTGGATGAAGCCAATTTTTTTTACTGACACGGGCCTCATCAGAAAGGATCGCCTTGGTCCTCCCAACTAAGCCCAGCGAATGAACTGTAGGAAAGCAATTAGCTTCATTACCACTGGTAAATTTGAGAACTGACAGTAGTATCAAATGGAACAAATCTAACAAAGTAGAGTATGACGGAGGGAACTGCGTAGCATAGAACCTGCCGACGATAATACGATAATAAGATAATAAGCTCACCATAGGACTAAGGGTGGGCTGCTCTAAGATTCTTGCTCATGGATTTTAACAGATATAAGGTTTTAGAGAGGGCGCAATAGCACCCAAAGACAAGTCTCTAGACTAAAGGAATCTTCGTGGGTGAAGTACGTAATATTTTCCAATAGTACTGATACGACGGGGTCATTCGATAAAATATGTACATATGCTGGCCACATACATACATCAACACTTGGTGTCTCACAACAACGAACGTATCTGACATCAGCGTAATATATATGTACTTATATGCGAAGCCAAAGAAAAGATGAATTATGGGCGGATGGAGGGAGCCCGATATTTGTGGGGTTGATGTTCCACCACTCGTTATTTGAGTGTGATGTGACCATGTGTCGCTTCAGTATGTACAGGACTGCTTAAAGAATTTAGAAGAAACAGATTAGCGTAATCTATATATGCTAATGCCTACTATGAAAAGGGATATATTGATAATAATTTGTTCACCATGGGTTAAATAACCAAGTGGCTATATATTGCGTGTGGGGTACAGGATGGAACAGGCAGTTGCGTGAGGTAGTCGTTCAGTGAGAGAAAGAGGGGGAAAAATGAAGACGTTATGATTTTACCGATAGTCAGTATTTAAAAGATTCGATCTCGCATAACCACTAGGTCCGCTGATGGTAATACTGGCATTATGTACGCAGGCGGCTTTGCAGATAATTGCTCGACAAATTTCTTTGTCTGAAACCCGATCCATGTCCTAGAACTCCGAGAAACCAGTTCACTCGGGTACTGTAACCCCTTTGATGTTACAGAAAAAATTGGTAATTACACGGCTGTATGCATTCAACCACCTGTGGGGGACTTTGCCACTTTGCATTTAACGAACGATTGGATTTTCTAGATAAGGTTAATTTAGTAAGCTTGCAATATGGCTATTATCACGTGTGACCGATTTTTCCATTTGGATCCGGGTATTTAATATGCCTAGTGTTTATGGTTAATAAATCTCCGGGCTGTGTCAGTTCCGCTGGCTGTTATAATGCCAAGTCAGCCACCACAAGAAAAGAATTTAAAATTTATAAATAAAAATGAAATAAAATAAAATAGAGTAACAGAACCGTAAACAGGGTTGTAGGCTCAAAAGATTTATTAACAGGACGGCTAATTTACTGCTGTTAAAGAGTTGTCCACACACGGCTAAATATAACAATATAGTTCATGTAAGGCCGCGTAGGTATGCAACTTATATGAGGATTTAATTTCTTTATTAAGGCTAGTGTTGTACTTCTTTCCTTCGGCCAAGACAAGGTTAAGCTAATGTTTTTATATATTATACATGCTTCATTTGTATTGAGCGTCTTAGCAGAATAGCTGTAGTCACATTTGAAGTTTACCCGAGGCGGCTATATATGTATTTTTATAGAGCTGTCAGTAATGAAATAGTAGCCAACTACTTTTATAATATAAATCGATAAATGTTTATTTTCTCAATCACATATATACTTTCCGATTATAAATTGCCTTGATTTTCGTTTCTGAGACATATCATTCCCCAGAATTCCAACCCAAAAACCGAGCGCAATACCATAGGCGTACCATTGCTCTGCAATTCCTCAAGAACAAGTCGTATTAGGTGGTGATTATAATATCGGATTTTCATATTGCTGTCTCAACTCTCTAACACAGGGTGAAGATTAAATTACCAATATGAAGGCAAATGTAATTTTTTGTCTCTTGGCGCCACTTGTAGCCGCGCTACCAACCGAGTTCATTCAACTGGAACCTAACCTTGCAGCACGTCGTGTTAACATTACAGAGCGAATGGCTGACTTAGAGGATCGACAAGCTTCTGTCAGCATTGATCAGCTTTTTAAAAAAAAAGGCAAAGTCTATTTCGGAACTGCCACTGATCGTGGCTTACTTCAACGAGAACGAAATGCGGCTATTATCCAGGCTAATTTTGGCCAAGTGACGCCAGAGAATAGCATGAAATGGCAGTCGCTTAACCCTAATCAAGGCCAGTACAACTGGGCAGATGCAGATTATCTCGTCAACTTCGCTCAACAAAACGGTAAGACCATACGTGGTCATACTCTCGTTTGGCATTCACAGCTGCCTAGTTGGGTCAACAACATCAACAATGCAGATACTCTGCGCCAGGTTATCCGTACTCATGTTCTTACCGTTGTTGGGCGATATAAAGGGAAGATTCGCGCCTGGGTATGTTGGAAATATCTCAATTCATTCCTCTGCATATGACCATCATAAAAGTATCCAGGATGACAGCTAATTCATAAATACATTAATAGGACGTAGTCAACGAGATTTTTAACGAGGATGGAACACTGCGCTCTTCTGTGTTTTCTAGGCTGCTAGGCGAGGAGTTTGTTTCAATTGCCTTTCGTGCTGCTCGTGAAGCTGATCCTTCCTGTCGCCTTTACATCAATGATTACAATCTCGATCGTGCTGGGTCGAGCAAAGTCAATTTAATGAGATACTATGTTGACAAATGGATCTCCCAAGGAGTTCCCATTGACGGCATCGGTGAGGCAACAACACCTACAAATTCAACTGGACTTGTGGCTTGGAGCTGTTCAAAACTAACATGGAGGTTTTGGACAGGAACCCAAACTCATCTTAGCGCAGGAGGAGGAGCCTCTATACAGGGTGCACTTCAGCAGCTAGCTACAGCGCCGGTCACAGAATTAGCCATTACTGAACTTGACATTGCGGGAGCCCCATCGAACGATTACAATGCAGTTGTTCAAGGATGCCTGAGTGTTGCCAAATGTTGGGGTATCACTGTTTGGGGCATCAGCGACAAAGTGAGTATTTCGCAAATTTGCTATTGTGAACCAAAAAAAGCTTACTGGCATATCCACAGGACTCGTGGCGTCAAGGCACCAATCCTCTTCTATTCGATAGCAACTTCAATCCTAAGCCGGCATATAATAGTATTGTAAGCATCTTACAATAGGTTTTCCGCTGTATAATAATAGCGAAGGGTAATATACCTCAGAAACTGGGTATCTAGCTATGTAAATAAGGCTACCTCATAGATACAACACCAATTTTGCACCGAAAGCCAGGAAAAATACAGATAGCCTAAGCTTTTATGTTGTTTCGGTCGTTTCGGATTCATCCGGATATTCATTTGTTATCCTTTTACTCTCATGCCCCTATTCTCTCTCGCAGCCTCCTCCTAGGTAGACTTCATCCAGTGGTTCCAGATCTTGCGGGACGCAAACCACATAGTCAAATCCTGAAGGCCGATTGATATCTCCCACAAACATATGTTGGAAGAGTATAGTTTTCTCGGAGTTTTTCTTTCGCTTCGTTTGTCCTGGATTCCGCAACGCCAGGCAAAATGCACAAAATTATATTTGCGATTCGTGATTCATTATTTAAGTATCATTACGCTCGTAGGTCCTCATTAAAGCATATTGAGACATCAACCCTTATGACAGGGCGAGCTGCCAGCCCCGTTGTCGAACGATATCCCTCCAATCCACCCTCTCGGTCTCGTCTGATTCATTCCTTTTCTTCCAAACATCTTCCAATACCTCCCTACAAGCATCGACATTCCGAAATCTCCTCCACTGATTCATTGTGTACAGTCTATTCCTGATACGCTCAATATGCGCTGTATCTTTTGCCTCCCCACCCGCAATAAAAAGCGGGAATAGTAACGAGCACTCAGCTAGAGACCCCTCGGGTACTCTTTGCGCAACGTCGCAAACTGACTCAACGTACACCCAAATGCCTTCTGGTAGTATCTCAGCCGCATGCTGTGGGAAATATTGGCGTACGACACGATCGAGGTATATGAGGCCTGCACTTCGGTATGTTTCGCTGAGGGAGGCAAGCGGCGTGTTGGCGGAAGATGTTGGACATTTCCAGTCTCGGAGACCAATGGCAATATGGTGAGCTCTTTGAAGCGGTGTATGGTAGTTGCAATCCAATGGTAACCCTTCGAAGATGAGTGCAGAGTTGCCTTCATCCAAAACCAGATCACCGCCGACAGATGACTTGTATTCTGCGCAATCCGCATTCAAAACACTGATTTCAGATATCAATAGCATGATCTTGGACGCAAAAGCAAAGTAGGGATCCGCCATGGCATCATCCGCAGACATCCAATAATCGCCCGTAATCAGAGGCCTTCTGTCCAGAGATACGCTCATGAGAATATCATGATATGCAAAATTCCTCACGAGCCACTTCCTTTCAACTGATTTAAGCCAATAATCGCTCAGAACAGATCGTGGGGGTTGTAGTGAGCCTACTTGCATATCAGAACCCTGGGACTGCAAGGCTGCTGCAGCACCCGATAGATGGTGTGCCCAACTACTGCTGGTTGCATCCGAGATAGTCTCCATCGAGCACATGGCCATAGCTACAGCTAGGCACATTTCCCCAGAAAGGCTACCGTCTTGAAGGGCGGCGCTAAGGTTAGCAAGAACCCGGCCACGATATTGAAGAGAAGTATCGTGAAAACTGGGGTTCCGAAGGGCAAGGTGGGCCGATGACCATGCAGCCATTGCATCAAGGAGGGCAGGGCAATCGAATGCCATCGGCAATAAGACTAGATCCATTATTAAAAAGTAATTCTAGAAATAGAAAGAAGGACAGCTGAAGTGAACTAACCTGATAAAAAGCAGTTGTTTTCAGCGGTTGCTGATAGCATAATAGCGAGAGTGGAAGTATAGTACCGCATCATGGTCCTTCGACTAGAGCTCCAATCATAACCAACAGGATTGTCAGGACGCACAAGGTCCAGAGGCTCGGATATTTTCGTTAGCCTCAATAATTCGGAAATGTGGTCGCCCTGCGAAAGAATGGGGTGCTGAGAGTGCCAGTATGATTGTGCCTGAGAAACCCCCAAATCTTCCACGGCATCCTCGCTCCAGGCATTCGACAACTGCCGGGGCTTTTCGTGCTTGCAAACAAGGTTAAGTCGTGAGCAGTGCCCGCAAATTGGTAAACCCTGGTCGCATTTCTTCTTGCGCTGCCGACAGGTCAAGCAGCCGCGGCGTTGTCGCGTGTAGCCACCCTTTTTTGTCGACTTGCGCGGTGTGACCTGCGGCTGTGGAGCAGGCTCCAGTGAAACGGCCAAAGTTGACATAATGAATATATCAGCGCGATGGGCGTTACTGGCGGCAAGGGATTCCGATGTGGGACGCTGCGCAATATGATTTACAGGCGAGTACTCTGTAGATGGGATGAGATGCTCGGAAAGAGGTGAAGTAGTAAAAGAGCGGAGATTCAGAGTGTCAGGAAGAGTTCATGCACGGCGTTAATGGCGGCACGAAATTGCTATCTTGCTAGTGTCTGATTGAAGATAGTGATTGGATGTTTATTGGCTGGAGGTGGCGGAGCGAGTCATGAACAAATATGGGTCTAGAACGTGGGGGAATCGATAACATGGGGACTTTGAACAATATACTTTCACCAGAGGCAAACTAATATTCGTGGAGAAGGGATGAATAATCTGCATGGAATTAATAGTGCACTATCTTTTCAAAAACAAGTATAGCAGGATATCCGCCTAGTTTGAGACATAAGTTAATGCACAGATTCGCCCCCATAGTTTGAGACATAAGTTAATGCACAGATTCGCCCCCATAATTATCCAGCCTTGGCCCAGTAAACGTCTTTCGCAGATTGGCAGCCCATGCAATCGTTGTCACTACTAACCCAACAGCCATAACGACAATCAGATAGTTCATGGAGCTGGCAGTGACAGGATATCCGACTGGGAAGCAAAAACAAATTGAGAAGAAAATGACTAATAACGTGGCAATTGCATTGATAATGTAGCCGAACTTGCCAAGAGAAAAGGCTCGTTCGGGAAGAATGCTGCGGCCACGGAACAAGAGAGCAGCCTGAGGTAATGCAACAGTGATGTTGAGCGCAAATAGAGTGAGATTGATGAAACTGCTGTATGCTGTGGATGATGCAACATAGAGAACTCCAATAATAATCTGCAAAACGAGCATGACTGCAGTGGCACGAACGGGACTTGCCCAGTTGAGGCGAGAGATAAAGTTGGAATATGGTACGCCGCCGTCTCGGGACAGGGACCAGATTGTTCGCCCCGCGAAAATGAAGAGATTGAGAACAATGTCGTAGAACATGACCATGTAATAGATGGCCCAGATGGTTGTAGCCACCTTCGAGTTCAGCGCTTGGTTGTATACTTCCAAAATCGGAACCCCAGATTCGATAAGGGCCTGGAGATCCGTAACAACAAACATGAGAGCAATGTTCCAGGCAACAACTGTGATGACGCCCAAGGTCATGGTGGTAATGATGGCAATGGGGACATTTCGACTTGGATTGGGTACTTCTTCAGAGACGTGCGTCGCGGCATCTGCACCACTAAATGCCCATAAACAGCCGGTAATGCCGATAAAGATCGCCCAACCATCTGTCCATCCACTGACATTTTGATAATCTCTGAACACAAAATCTGCTGATTGTTTGATGTCTTTGACAGTGAGCAATGTTATCAGCGAGGCCACGAAGCCAGCCAACGAAAGAACAAGAATCGTCACGCCCAACTTGCCAATAGCAGCGGGGAAACGAGACGTGAGCACAAATGCGATGATACAAAGCAAAATATGCAACAGGTATGTATGCCAAGCTTGTATTTCGTAGCTCTCGTTCCACAGACTAACGACGTCGAGGATGGAGCCTGCGACAAAGAGATTGCACGACACAGTTGCCGCCATGATGTAAATCACGGAAATCCATCCTGTAAAGAACGCGGCAACTCGGCGTGTTGACGGAGGAAAAGTCATATAGACGATGTGATATTGACCACCAGCAGATGGAAATGCGGAAGCAAGTTCTGCAAAGCCAACATTAATGATGGTCATGATAACCGCGGCAGCGATAAGGCCGTAGATGAGAGCTGGGCCACCACCACATGAGAGCGGGACAGCAACACCAGAAGCGAATGCTACCCATGAATTCATGGTGGTAAAGCCGAATGCAATGACTGAAAGAAGAGTGAATCTCTTTTTGAGGTGCTCTTCCGGACGCATTAATGGTGGCTTGTCTTCCACATGTGACTGGGAAACGGATGCGGAGTCCGGAAGTTCAGACTTATTCTTATCCATGATGAAAAATACTTTTTGCACCCTTGACTTCGATGAAAATAAATATTGAGAAAAATAGAAATGAGAAGGGGGGGAGAGGAGGAAAGGAAGAGGAAGGTACTATGACCAACAACTGGTCTGACTTGGGTATGTTAAACAAAAAACTTTTGCGAGAACCATTCTATATAAAGTCGGGTTGCGGAGATATACTCTGGGGTGTCGAATCTCTGGGGAACATTCTTTGACGTGAGATTTGATGTTCTGAATACGACGAACTGATAAAGGCACAACCTGGAGGTGGGTCTGATTGGGTGGCTGGCCACACTTGGCCGATCTCGGGCTTCGTCGAAACGCAGCCTTCACCCGCCGTTAACGCCGCATGTGGAGTTTGGAGATTGTGGAGAAGGCGAACCCGAAACTTACTTAGAGCAACCTGTATATAATAGAGATACCAAAGACCATATGTGCTGAATTTTGGATATTCCTGCCATACCTTTCCTTTCAAGAATTTTTTGGGCAAGTCTTAACGCGAAATGAAGTTTGTATCATTATTACATCTCCTTTCCTTTATTGGCTCAGGCTATGCCTGTGGCGGGCATAATGATGAGAAGGAATGGAGTAGCGAGGAATTGGCAGAGTTGGAGGCAAAATGGGGACACGAGGTATGTATTAAGTTGACATCAATATTGGTAACTCATAATAACCGGATACAGTGGTCGTTCAATGGCATCGGGTCTTTTGCTCACTTGGATTATGTCAAATGTCTCACCAACCCTCAAGAGACATATGACATCGCAATTATCGGGGCGCCTTTTGACAACGCTGTCTCTTTCAGACCAGGTAATTACTCTCAGATTCTTAAGATGGTGACTTTTACTCATACTTTTTCCAGGCGCCCGATTTGGACCCAGGGCTATCAGACAAGCGTCTTCTCGCCAGACCTCGCTGCGTGCATTCAATCCTCGCGCAAACGTCAATCCGTACCAAAACTGGGCAAAAATCGTTGACTGCGGAGATATTCCCATTACACCCTTCGATAACAATATCGCAACCGAGCAAATGACACAGGCGTTTAAGAATCTTGGCAGAGCTCGTCCAACAAGCTCACTAAGTCAAGGTCGGCCGAAGCTCATCACGCTTGGTGGAGACCACAGTTTGGCGCTGCCTGCGTTGAGATCCTTGAATGAGATTTACGGCAGGCCAGTTCGTGTACTTCACTTTGATGGTATGTATTTCCAACGAACATACGACTAGTAGGCGAAAGGCTAAATAACATTAGCCCATCTGGACACTTGGGATCCTGCTGCGTACCCATCTGCCTGGGGCTCAACACACTTCACCCATGGCTCGATGTTCTGGATGGCTAACCAAGAAGGCCTGCTGTCAAACTCATCAACAGGTCAGTCCGTTCACGCCGGTCTGCGTACCCGCCTCAGCGGCACGGACTGGGCAGATCATGAATCCGACACCGCTCAGAACTGGGTTCGCTTTGCCGCTGATGAGATTGACGATATTGGCACCAAGGGTATCATTGATGGCATTATGTCGGTGCTGGGAACTGAGGATCCTGTGTACTTGTCTGTTGATATCGACGTATTGGATGTGGCTTTCGCACCTGGTACTGGAACCCCTGAGCCTGGTGGTTGGACAACCAGGGAGCTTATCAGAATTTTGCGAGGCATTGAGGGCTTGAACATTGTTGGCGCTGACGTAGTCGAGGTTAGCCCCGCTTACCAGGGAAGAGGTGAAGAAACGGCATTAGCGGCAGCCCAAGTTGTATATGAGATTTTGAGCTCTATTATCAAGAAGGGCCTGGAGGATGGAGCTAAAGAAAAGCGAGGGAGCGGAAGAGATGAGCTGTGATAAAAGAAGCTGTATAAAACTGTATATAATATACATCGACTTTGGTTATTGTATCATAGTCACAAGGCACACATGCCATGCCAATTACATATTGAATAAGAAAGAGCTCACTATGGGTTGTTATATATATCAGTGACTCTAAATGAATTGCTCTATGCTGGAAACATTACATTGTAAGCAGTGGGTTATATAAAGAGATCATCTATTGGGTACTGGTAACTACTCGCGTCTAAAAAGTTACGATCCGCTGGATCATGGAATTGTCCATGTAGTCTTCGAACAAATAGATTGAGAATTGAATCGTAAAAACTTTGAATGGTACGATCCTTGTCTCTCCAGTGATGACGGACAAAGACACCACGGCATTTGTCGTTGCCGATATATGGCGCGCCATTACCATGATCACAAGGAATAACACGTAATTCGTCTGGTTCGTTGTAGTCATAACGGAGGTGATATCCAAAAGCTGCTTGCTCGTGCGCCCATTCTTTTAACCATCGATCGCAGCCGGGGTAACGGTTACCAGTCGGGCAGTTTTCCCACGCATCAAACATTTCTTGAGTTTGATTACTCTGCTGGGCGATAATGAATCCTGTATTCCAAAGTAATCGGCCCTTGGAATCTTTGTTGAAATCCTCATCGGGATCTTCGGCCATGGCGATCAGCGTCCGTGGCGTTATGTTCCAAAGGCTCATCAGCCATTCGAGTGGGAGATGAGGATGAATGAATTCGGCATCTGCGTCGAGAAACACTACAACGCTATGAGATTTGAGTGCTTCTTTTATCATGGGAACCTTAACCCAGGTGCCATGTCGATCGTTGTAATTAGGGGCCCGCACAAGTCGGTAGTCGTATCCGTGAATCATTGCTGTAAACACATTTCCTCGTTAATATTGATTCAAGAATGTAGGAAACAGAAAGTGAATGTATCGTACAATAGAGATAATGATTCATAAACCCAGCGGTCCGGCCTGTTATCTTCGCTAGCTCTGGCTTTTCGCTATTCAATATCTCGCCAGTGTTTGTGTTTGGCCGGCTATCAACGTCGAGGATAATTAGCTTCTTGCCGAGCGGCTCTGCCCATCTATAGGTGCCACTAGGTATCTTGTAGTGTTCGCCATTGTCCGCGACAAATGACTTGGAGGCGATGTTGTGTAAGTATGGTCTCCATAGCTGTTTCACCAGGTATGACATGTCAGTCCAGTTTGCAGGCGATCCATCTCCGAAGAAGTGTCTGTTTGAGTATGGTAAATTAATTGCACTTTCACTTCACATCGCCCTCCTATTGGATGTATCTGAAACAACAAGGGTTACTAACGGTGGTGGCAAAGTCGTGTCAGCCATGTAGAACCCGGCCGTGTAGACGATAATGCCGTAAGCAAGTAAAAAGCTCGCTGCTGCCAGCGGCAGCTTGAACTGTCGCCATCTATAGTGCCACTCCTCCCGCTCTGGGAACCTGAAAAGAGTTACCCCTCGATTGACGTGTTCCTGAATTCGAGCTGCAGTCCATCCGACACGCATGTCGAAAAGGCTTCAGTTGCCTGTGTTCTCGTTTTGGTGCACGCTGGCTGTTGATATTGAAAATTTTCATTCATAAATTTCCACGAGTTTGTACGAGATATTATATACAAGTGAGAGTAGCATTCCCTGTAGAGGAAGTTACAAAGCAAATACGAGTTATCATTAGCCATTGGAGTGGGTGGAGTAATTGGATGGCAATTTAGAATGTCGGTCAAAGCATACATACAGCTCTGCAGCTGTTGTTTTTGTTGACTGCAGGGTGACCCCTATCCGATCTGCCTCATCAGATCTCGTAGATTATATATATATAAAAGGTCCTGCCCCTAACTTTATATTTAGATAACTAAAACCTTTAATAAATATAATATACACCCAACCTTTTTTTTAATAGGTTATAAACCCAGATTACAACTAATGATAATAACCTCTATATTAACCAAGATTACTGTCTTAGATTAACAGTATTAATAAGCTGCTTTTACTAATATTAAATAAAAAACTAAAATTTAACCCCTGGCTAAACTAACTTTTAAAATAACTATTAATTTAGTAATTAAAATAATTATAATTACTAATTTTAAAATAATCTTAATTATTTTAATAAATAATTTCTATTACCTTTATTTTATAAAATTAACTAACTATTATAGATTAATAAAATAAAAAAATAAAAAATAAATATAATTTATAATTAAAACTGCTGTAATTAATAGTAGTATTTAAATTTATTTAAAAAAATTACTTTTTTATATTTATTAAAGTAATTAATAAAACTTTAGTAAAGGCTTTATAATTTAATTATAAAAAAAGCTATTATAGTAAACCTACTATTTTTAATTTAATACCTTTATTAAAATAATTAATTATAAAAGTGCTATTATAAATTTTTAACTATAATTAAAATATCTAAAGTTTAAAAATTAAAAAGTTTTTTTAATATCTTTAATTTTAGTAAATTAAGTTAAATTATTAATTAACTATAAACTTTATTTTTTTAATTTAGATTTAATTTAATATTTAACTGCTGTTTAGTTATTAAACTTAAATATATTAATAATAATAAACTTAGGTATTTTTAAGTTTACTATTAATATAGCTGTTATTAAAAATCTTAAATTATTAAATAGTTAAATTATTTAAAAAAAAGAAGTTATAAATATAATTAAAATCTAAAGCTTTAAAGATTTTATAAAAAAAAATAAAAATATATTAAAAAAAAAATTTAATAAATTAAATAATAATTTTAAAAGTAAAAAAGAATTTTAAAAAATATATTAAAATTAAATTATTATATTTATATATAATAAGCTTAGTTATTTTATTTATAAATACATAAAGTAAAAAGAGATTTTATCTACTATTTTAAATACTTTAAAGATTAAATTTAAGCTTTATAAAAACGCTGTTTTTTAAGAATTTAATTAAAAATATAATAGCTTAATATTTAAAAACTATATAAATATTAATAATTATATAAAAAAGCTTAAGGTAACTTAAATTAAGCTTAAATAATTTAATAAATACTATAAAATTAATAAAGTATATTTTATTAATAAGTTTTTTATAAAGCTTAAAAAAAATTATAAATATTTTTTTATAGTATTTTATTAAATATATAGTTTATTTTTTAAAAAGTTAAATAATAAAGTTATAAAAAAAGCTATTATTTTTAATAAAGCAGTTATAATCGTTAAATAAAAAAAATTAAGCTAAAAGTAATAATTAATAATATTTAGTTTTACTATAGCCTTTTAATTTTTTTATATATATTAATATTGCTATAAGCTTAGTTATTTAAAGGAAAAATATTAGATATTTTTCTTAAAGCTTAAACTAAAAAATATAAAATAATAAAAAAGAAAACTATAAATTAGATTTAATTAATTAAAAAAGGAAAAGGAATAATTAATAATTAAAAAGGTAACTGCTGCTTTAGCCTTTTTCTAAAATATAAATAATAAAGGGGATAATATATTACTAAATTTAATAAACTGCTTTTTATTTATATTATTTAATTATTTAGCTTTAGTAAAAGCTACTATATTTATAAAAGTTAACTTTATAAACGTTTATATTTTTAATAATAGCGCTTTTAATTATATAATTTATACTAAAGAAAAATATAAATTACTATATTAAATAAAAAAGACTTTTATTATTAATATTAAAAAGATAAAACTTACTTTTAAAAGTATTAAAATATATTAGCTTTAAACTTTTATTTATAATAATATTAAAAATTTCCTTTTATAAAATACTTTTTATATATTAAACGCTAGATTTAACCTTATATTAATTTTAATATTAAATTAAAAAAGCTATTATTTAAGTATATTTAGCGGAAAGGTAGTTATAATAAAGAACTTTATTATCCTTTTTATAGCTACCCTATAATATAAAGTATATATTATTAATATATTCTGCTATAGCCTTACTGCCTTTAATATTAAAAACCTAAAGCTATAATTATAGTATAATTAACTAAAGTATTTTAGTAAAAATAATATAAAGGATTTAGTTAAAAAGGTAGAAGGACTATAACTTATAGAATTAGTTAAAATATATAAAGTTTATACTACTAGTAAATAAATTAAACAGCTATATATAAATAGTATTAAAAAAAAAATAAAACTATTAAAAAGCCTATATATAAATATTATAAAACCTTTTTTAATTATAAAGTATAATAAAAACTAATATTAGATTATATTTTTAAATAATTATATTTATATAAGTTAAGTGTTTTTAATATAAATAAAGTTTATTTTTTACTTAATTTTTAAATAGCTATTGGAATAGTTAAAGATTTTAATAAGGCGGTATTATTATATTAAACTAAATTAAAAAAGAGAAAATATAAATTATTTTTTATATACTTTTTATAAAAATAAAAAGATTAAAATTATTTATACCTATGTTAATTAATATTAATAAAATAAAGTAATTAAATACTTTTATTATATTTTATAAAATAAGCTTATATTTATATTTATAAAAAGATAAATTAACCTTAAATAATAGTTTTATATAGTAAAAACTATTAACTATCTATATATAATCTTATTTAGTAAAAGACTTAAAGTTACGCCCTATAAGGCTTAATATAGCAATAGGCTTAACCTATTACATCTTTAAGTCTTAGGGTTAAAGGGGTAAATAATAATAATCTATAAAAAGAAAATAAAACTAAAGGTAGTTCTCTGTTAATTAATTAGCTATTAAAGAAGTTAAAATTATATAGTAGTATAAAATAGCTAAATTAAAATTACATTAAATATTATATTTAAAAAACAGCTATTTAAGGTATTAATAGCAGTAATTTAAAGTATTAAAAACACTTAGTACTATATTAAACTATTAATTAATTAATTCCCTTTAACTATTAAAAATATATTACTAAATAATAAAATAATTAATAAAATAACTACTTTAAAAAGTTAAAATAATAAAACTATTACTTTAAATAGCTATTAAAAAATTAAACCTATTAATAATATAAAAGATTTTATTATAAAAAAAAGAAATATATTAATTTTTAATTTATTAAAAATATTAAAAAGCTTTAGGTTAATTTAATTAATTATTAAAATTATTATAAAGACTACTTTAACTGCTAAAGTTAATTAAGATAAACTCCTTAATGCTTTATATACTTTTATAAAAGTTATTAAAGTATTAATATAACTGGGCTTAATAATATTAGATAATAAAGTTAAAGACTTTAAAAGTTATTATAAAGCTATTTATTTAAAAAAATAAAAGTATTAGTTAAAAGTAATAATAAATAAAATATATTTACTAAAGAAAAACTAAATTTAAGAATTAATAAACTTTTTAAAAGGCTGAAAGCTGCTATAAAAAAAATAAATATATAAAGTAAAAAGAAATACAGAAGGTATTATTAACTATTATAAAGCCTACTATATAATTAAAAGCTTTAATTAAAAAGAAAATATTAATTATAATAAAACCTTTATTATAGTAGTAAAGTCTATAAGCTATAAAATATTATTTACTATTACTGCTACCTAAGATTAAAAAATTAAATAAATAAACGTTAAAACAGTTTTTTTATATAAAGAAATTAATAAAGAAATTTATATTTATTAATTAAAAGACTTTAATAACTGCATTAGCTGCATCTATAAGCTTTAAAAGGTGCTATATAGGTTAAAGTAGGCCTTAAGAATTTAATATTAAACGCTAACTACCTTCCTTACTGGGCTAAAGATAACCCCTATATTAGCTAACAAAAGTATCTTTATAAGAAAAGGTATTATTATTATAGTTTACGTAAATAATTTACTATTATTTAGTTTAAATAAATAAACTATCTAAGAAATTAAAAATACTTTATATAAAGATTTTTAAATAATTAACCTTAAAGCTTATAAATATTATTTAAGTTTTACTATTAAAAGAGATTAAGCTTAGCAGTAATTTACTTTTTTATAAAAGGGATATATTTAAAAGATTTTATATTTTTATAATATAAAAAATTATAATTTAATAAAAACCTTTATGTTAATAGGCTTCTTAAATATTAATGCTAGCTTAAATATAATAAAAAATAAAAAAGGAAGATATATAAAATAATTTAAATTAGTTATATAGGTAATATTAAATATATAGCCTAATATTATATTTTTAATATTCTTTTACAGCTGCTTTATTATTAATTTAAAGAAATTATATTAGTAAAATATATAGTAAATCCTCCGTTACCTTAAAGATATAATAAACTATATATTAATATATAAAGGTAATTTATAAATACTATAAAAATATATAAATATAAATTATATAAGTAATAAAACCAGCTGGTACTTTACCTATAGTTATATTTTTAACTTAAGCTTTATAGTTATTAACTGGTTATTAAAGAAATAGATAATTATTATATTATTTATCTATAAAGCTAAATATATAAGCTAAATATAGGCAGTAAGGGAAGCTATTTAGCTACAGAAGCTACTTATAATTATTACTTTTACCTTATACTTCGTAAATAAAATAACTATAATTTATACTAATAATTAAAAAGTTATTAATTTTATATAAAATCTAGAATTTTACAGCTATATAAAGTATATTAATATATAATATTATTAAATTTATAAGAAAATATAAAGGTAAAAGATATAGCTATAGTATATATTATTAGTTAATAAAATTATAAATAAAATAATTAAACTGTTGTTTATAAAGGTTTTTATTAAATTTAAGGAAGTAATAAAGGTAAGAAAAGTATAATTTAATAAGCCTTGGCTAGTTAGCTTAAATAGGAGTTAAGACCTTTTACCCTATAGTAAGACTTTATATTTTTATAAAACTTCTCCTTATTAAAGGCTAAAAGAGAAAGTTAGTTACAGAAGGTATAAAAAGCCTATTTATAAATTAGTGTGTGTATTTATAGGGTAACTTAAATCAATAAGCTAGATTAAGTGGGAGTATTAACTGCAGGGTAACCTTTATTTAATCTACCTTATCGGATCTCGTAGATTATGTATATATAAGAGGTCCTGCCCCTGACTTTGTATTTAAATAACTAAGACCTTTAATGAATATAATATACACCCAACCTCTCTTCCAACAGTTTTCTGGTTTGCTTTTCTGGTCCTAACCATTTCAACAGTGATAATTGCAACTTCAATGATATGGACCAGAGGACCATACCCACCAATAAGTCTGCGCCCCTTTTGCACACGTAACTAAGAACGTAATCCCCGAGGTCTTTGGTCTCCCCCACTCGATGGATTAATATCAGTGTTGGTTGGTAGAAGTGGTAAGCTGATAAAGCCGTAAACTACTAGGCCGCAGGTGTAGCTGCTGCTCAGAATCGAGCTGGAATTTTTTGGATAAGCTGTGGAGTATTGAAAATCTCGTATTCATTTTGGTATGCAGGGCAATTATGGAGTAGAAGATGACGACTTGGTGATAGGGCTGGGACCCCTGCAGGCGCTAGAGTTGTGACAGTAAATGCGGTTATGCTTAACAGAGGGCTAGATAACTTATTTTAGAACGGTTTGTCACACCCAACAGGCATTATCAAGCCAATAAGCAATCCGAAGAATAATCACAAAAAGAATGCCTCTCTGTTAAATTATTGTTTATGGCGAACAGGCCAATGGAAAGATAATCACCGGGACGTACTGTTGCCGTTCATCCTATCCATCCTAGTGCCATATTCGCGTAAAATCATTAAGAAAACCCCTGACACTCCTTCAATAATACACAAGGTTGATTCCTTGAACTATTCCTTACTGTACTACCAGCTCTATTCTCAAAGGTCTAAATCCCATCTAACTCCATCCCTACGTACTTCGACCACCGAAACGGCTACATGTAGTAAGACGTCAAAAATTAACCATTTACGCTCGTAATTCGGCAAATATTTTAGTATAGCTTCATCGACATTAGAGGCCGTTAATCTCAGCACCTTTTTTTTTCATGTTATTTTTTTTTTTAATTTTTTTTTTTTCCCACTGTGTTCCCTGTTAATAGTCATACGATTCCCAGATAATCACACCTACCCGCTTTATGAAGTGTTTGTCTCTCTTTCTCTACTCTTTGGCATCAGTTCTTTTATTGGGAAGTAGTTATTCTACAATTACACGACACACAATATTTTTTATCTTTTCGGGATAATGGGCTAGTTACACTTAAGAGACCTTCTTTCCAAAAGCAGCTATAATTTCTTCTTTCGCCCTTCCGCCCTCGACAGCGAGAATTCTCTCAATCAGCTGTCAGAGATAGACCCACACATTTCTGAGCTACGCCGCAGCTAATCCGCTGTGGGTCTAGGTTCGCCAAATTTGTCCTCCAATTACTCGTAACCTAACAGCAGTACGATTTCTCCCACGTGGCCTTTCTCTAATTGTCGTCTAATTGCGTCTCTCTCTGGACGTTTTATTTAAGAATCTCTGTTACTTACTTACTCCCGGTCGGTTCTCGCCGTCTAATACGGAGTTGCCATTTGGAATTGCTTCCCTTCCGATGCGTCGCCGCTTTGATAGAGGTATTCTTGTGCTGCACTTAACAAGTGTTCCCACCTTACAACCCCAAGAGGCCATGGCCAGCAGTTGCTGGTTATGAGCTCCTGCATTATGGCATCGTCACTTCTTCCTGTATCCCTGTTCGGCGTTATCCTAAAAGGGAGCAACCAGCACCGTCCGTTCCCATAAAAACTTCATAATTTAACCTTGATATTTATCGAGTCAGCGACAGGCATGGTCTCACTAACACGAGCTGCATGACAAAGAGCAAGTAAAACTAGGGTGACGTCAGAAGGGTACTGCTCCCGGATACGACAGGGCAGCATATACGAGCCGACCTGTTCAATTCCCCTTGGACCTGTCTGCTCGGACCATTCGTATTGAGATACACGAGAAAGCCTCTGTGGTAGTTTTTTTTTTTTTTTTTTTTTTTGACGGAAACATTTTTCACCATACTTTTAGTTCATTCCATGTCTGTATTCTTTGGTGGCGTAGGTAGTGATTAAACTCTGCTGCATCGCTCTTAATGTTAAGAGCGACCCAAGGCCATGGCGACCAACATCTGTGGCCAATATTGTGGTGGGAGTCAGGACACCTCCTTCCTCCCGCCCCCCAAGTACTTCCACGGGCTATTACAATGTCGCTTCTTTATGCGTTGGGGGTGGTTCATTCAGTAGTTGTAAGACACTTACGGCTATATCTTCCAGTCCATCAAGTAGCTGCCATGCGTTTCTTCATCCCTCAATACTGCTGCATCAATATAGGTGCTGGACCCATTTCTCATGGTTCGACCCAACCCCCACATGACTATATCGAAAATCATCTTAATGATATGATTGACTGCTCTGTTAATTTCGGTGCCTTTAACCAGCCCAGGATCCACCAAATTGACAATCACATATTCCTTCTTGACTTTTTCAGCAAGCTTCAATATCCAGAAATGAGCAAGTATTTTACTTGTAGGATATTGCTCTGACGTGTTGAAATTTGCTTTATCATCAAAAGTTGATAAGAAAGGATCGGAGCCTCGGTTAGGAAATTTGGTAAAATATATCCTTGAGAATTGGGAGGAGTAGAAAAGCTAACAAAACAGTGGACAGATAGTTGACTTGGAACATCTTCTCGTGGCCTTGTGGACTTAGCTGGAACGACTGTTCAATCACTCCAGCGTTCAGAATGGCCATGTCGAGCCCCTCTAATGTTCGACATTTAGCTGCAAAGTTTTGCACGCTCTTATACGAAAGCATGCCAAGCTGCCATATATCGATTTGGGCGCCTTCGTGCTTTTTATGCAGCTCTGTCGCGTCTGCTTCGCCTTTGGTGGTGTTCTAACGGCCATGATTAACCGACCGGCGTTAAGCTCTAAAAGCCACTTTGCGCAGGCAAACCCAAGCCCAGTGTTTGAGCCTGTGAGGATAGCTGTCTGTCCCGTAACGGATATCCCATTCGGTGGAAGAACTGGCTTAGCGAGCTGAGAGCGAAAGAAGTGGTACCCGTCGCCAAAGCCTAGGTCAGAAGACTTGGAAGTCATTTCGTAGAGACCATAAGCGTGAAAGTAAATTAATTGCACGTATATTCGAAAAAACCAAAATCGTCTGCTACCTGAGGGGTTTAGTTTTACGAGCTACTATGTTGTGCTTAAATACACATCTGGTACCATGTCGGAACAATTGAACGTTGATGGAAGAGGGAAACAATCTTAACACCGCGGCTTGATTTGGTGCCGAGTTGGGCGGGAAACGTCACAGGGAACCCAAACGCCTGAAAGATTTACTTTCACTGGTCTGAATGACCAAAGGAGGCGCTATAAATGAAGATGCTTAAGGCTTTGTCAACAGAACACATAGTAATTTTCCACCTTCGTTCTCATCTAATAAGGGTGCTTGTCTCGGGTAGTGGGCCTTTTGCTTACAACGCTTTACCATTTTAAGGAAACAATCTTGTCTTGGCACAGAATTGAAGCTAAATGGTGCGGGAGATACTAACAGGCTGTACTAAAAGTTTGGATTGGTTCCCTTTTTAAGCAAACAATATCGTCTTCTCTTACTCTTCCCGAACAGCCACTTCACGACAAATATCCCTGTGGTATCGGCCCTTCTACAAAATCTGACTGGTATCGCAGTATCAAGTCAACTTCTCTAACCTGAGATGGCCCAAGAGCAAAGTGCCCTCCAGGCGCAAAAGACACATGGCAGGCGGACTTGGCATCAAGCAGCGTCGCGATCTCGAGCTACTAGTAAGCATATCTAACACCCTTTCGAGAGCGAGATATCACTAATAATGCAATGTAGCAAAAACATTCGAATTTATTGCCTCTCATTCTGTTGGAAGACCTCATCCAAATGTCAGAAAACTCATCAGAAGCCACGTTATGCTCGGGAAGAACATAAAAAAGCACCACGCCGAAAAGGTTGAACATGAGCCGTCACGAGTAGCTAAAGTCGTAGAATTCAGCGAGAGCGGGAAGACCGCGACATCGACAGTATCGACCAAATTGACTATTTCTACAAACCAGTCACAAGTTGCTGCCGATGCTATTGTATTCATCGTACCCCGTGCAGAGTGCGGAAACCAGACCGCCATTGTGTCGTTTTTAGCGATTGCCAGTCCATAGAAGCCTCCTCATGATCTAGCGTTAACCACATTCTCCAGTCCTCTAAACAGTTCCTCACAGGCTCTTCTCTACAAATGTAAGTTCAATATTCAGTATTCTTCCTCCTCAGTATTCCCCCTTAGACAGCGCTCACCATTGGTTGATAGATTTTACGACTGTCAAGGAAACAATGTATCCTGCCAATTGGTATGTTGAGTCTGACTACTTTAATTAGCGTTTCTTCCACTGGCTCTTTGAAGCCGAATCTTATCTGCAATCCATTCTCTTTAGTATGAGCGCTTTCCAAGATATCCTGTCGTTTAGATCCACCAAACGTTTGAACTTACCTGGTGTCGCGATTGAGTTTTCCCCAGAAACACGCCAATACTTGGGAAATACTATTAATCTCTTAAATAAGCAAATACAAGATTGTCATATGCAACTCCATGACAGCACTGTGGCAGTCGTTACAAGCCTCGCTATGATAGCCGATGCAATAGGCCACAATCTTGCCTGCAAGACACATGTTGAAGGGTTAAAACAGATGATACATGCGAGGGTTGTTTAAACATATTTAGAAGCAACGGCCATGTGCAAATGAAGATCTGTCGGTGAGTCAGAAATGCACATACTGATAAGATTTTACTAATTATATTTACCAGTATTGACCTAAGATGGTCTCTGAAAACTGGCAGCCACTCGACTTTCTACAATGGCGAATTATCCTGGGAGGCGCTCAACATGGGCCGCGAGTGGGGTCTCAATTTGAAAAGGTTGACCGAGATGATAAACTCCTCCACTGGTCACTGCTGGCCAATGGAGGTAACAATCCCGTTCCCAGTGTGGCTAAGTTATCTCTTTCCTCTCAGTCATACAAGCCCGGATGCCCAATTAGTATGATTAACAAAGATCTGGGTCTTGCTATAGCTGAGGCAGAAATTCCAACGCGCCTCTCCTGCTTGTGAAAGCGAGTCGCGAAGCTTACGACATTGTAAACAAGGAATACTGTGGCCAGGATTTTTCCGTTATTTATCAGTGGACAAAGGTTACATCTAGTAAGTAGATTATACTAACAATATAATATACTGCTTTATAACGAACTGGGTCCGATATGTTAGTATAGGTTAGCTATTCCGTAAAAGTTACATTATCTCTCCAGCATAATATCCATAATGCTTGCTACTCCAGTTTACAGAGAAAAGGTTGAAGTACTCAGAACTGTTCATAATAAGTTCTAGAGGAGAAGTTTTCACGGTTGTCGTAGCTTATTTCGTGGGGTTTTCCTGGTCTGTTCGTTTGCAGATAGTAGTTAATTGGGTTTCAGTAAAAAAGTTTTTTTTTTTTTTTTGGGGGGGGGGGTTAAAACAAAAAGAATGCACAGCTGCCTAAGATCACCATATCATCTAATCACTTTTATATAGTAGCTTTATCTAAGTTTCGGTTTTATTATACGATAGTACTAAAAGCTGACATTTTATACTGTCAAAATAGGCAGCGAGAATACGGTCTTCTAATTTTTCCTAGAGCCATATCTAATTGTTTGGTTTATGTGGAGCCTGAGTCGATATGCCTTCTACCTAGTATTAGTGGCTAAAATCCCTCACCAGTTGGCTCATCTTTAATAATATATAATATTATATAGCCCCATCATTCAAGTGTCTCTGGCTTATCAATCTAAGCCTGGTCTCTCCGTCTCATTCTACTCCAAGAACTAAGATACTAGAGAATTAACAACCATGGCGCCTTTCCAAACAGACGACAGATTCTTCACCAAAGACTGGACCATAACCCTCCCCTTTCACCCAGAGCCGAACCTTAAATTCATCCGCTTGACGCCCGCTGAGACAGCCGCATTTGTACGCTTCGCAGAAGGAGCCGTCAGCCCACCAAATCCGACGAGCACCGAAGCCCCACCACCGCTTGTCCCCGGAGAAAGAATGCAGAAGATGTACGCCGAGTCTCGGACCCGACACCACGCTCTCGACGTATTTATGTCCTTAGAGGGCAAGTTTGTAGGTTGGGGAGGAGTATTTGAGATCACAGCCCCCAACGAGAAGCCGAGTGTCGCAAACATCGGTATCAGACTAAGCCCCGAAGTCCGAGGGAAAGGACTGGGAAAGGTGCTTATGCAGGTCTTGCTGCGGTTGAGTAATGAAGTGGATGCGGATATTATTGAGGCGGGTACCATGAAGTATAATACCTCGATGAGAGCAATGGCGAAGAGCGTCGGCTTGGTTGAAACCGATGAGATTAAGGAGATTCCTGGTCAGGGCGTCGTGGCTGAATTACTGTTTAAGAACATTGAGAGGGAGAAGTGGAGAGATCTTGATATGGTGGTTGAGTTTAAGGATCAGATTGCAAGTGAATAAATACGTATGGGGTTAGCAGGTTCTAGAAAGCACCACACTTCTTTTCTTTCCCTTTTTTTTTTCCATTTTTCCAAAACCGGATGTACACTGCAGGTAGTAATATTACCACAACCTAATCCCTAATATCTAGATAAAGTTATCTCATACATAAAATCAATCTTCAGTCCTGCTTTCCAAAAGATACTGAAAGGGTGCAAAGCCTCAGTAATAAATCAATTCCGGGCGAAAATATAACTCGGGTATAGTGTGGTTTTATAACTATTATCTTAAGGTACAGGATACGCAAAGAATATGGGCCGCGGCAATTGTAATGAGAGCTTTTGCGTGATGGGACTATAATGAATTTGTAATTCGGTGTATATTTTGTAACCTACGTATGAATTCTTAATTCCTGTGGATTAACCTATGATAGGACAGAGTTACCGTCTGATGAGGGATGCCTTATTTATCAGCTACAAAGAAGTGAATCGCTTCACGTTACATTATTCATCTCCGCTCCGTCGGAATTAACCAATGGCTTCCGGTAGCCTTCCGGTGGACGGGCAGCCGCAACTGGGTCATGTTTGACATGCTTGACGCCACCAGCTCCAAATGTGGATGCATTAAAGCCCAAACATATAAAACGAGATCTTGTAATCTCCCTGAAAGTGGCACTTAGTTCTTGTTCACATTTCTACCTAGTTTCAGTCAAAATATCCCTTACAACTCATGATGATGCAAAACAAAGCTCTTGTTTTCAAGAAAATCCCCCTTGGCTTTCCTGTGCCCGGGGAACACCTTGCTGTGGAGCCGGTGGACAATAATGCGGAGGATGTAGCGCCTCCAAACGGCCTTATCTTGAAATCTCTCTACGCAAGCTTTGACCCTTACATGCGTCCTCGCATGAGACCTGCAGAAGTCAAATCATACACGCCGGCTTTTGCACTCAACCAACCTATCGATAGTGCCACCATCGCCAAAGTACTTCAATCCAACAATCCGGCTTTTCGGGAAGGAGATTTAGTAATTGGTCACCTTCCTGTTCAGCAACTTGTCACGGTGGATGGCGGCCAGGCGGCCAGGCTTCGTCAACTTGAGAATCCGCTCGGTATCCATGATATCCGAGTGTTCCTCGGAGCTCTTGGTATGCCGGGTCTTACTGCATACTCATCTTTATTTGAGATAGGAAATCCACAGAAAGGAGAGACAATTTTCGTTTCTGCTGCTAGCGGTGCTGTCGGCCAATTGGTTGGTCAGCTCGCTAAACATGAGGGTTTGAAAGTTATTGGGAGCGTCGGGTCCGACGAGAAACTTGACTACATAATCCGAGAGCTCAATTTCGATGGGGGCTTCAACTACAAGAAAGAAAAGCCCGCAGACGCACTGGCTCGGCTTGCGCCAGGCGGAATCGACATTTATTACGAAAATGTTGGAGGGGAACATCTTGAAGCCGCACTTGACGCGTTGAAAGACTTCGGTCGTGTGATTGTCTGTGGTCTAATTTCACAGTACAATGCGGCTCCATATCCTATTAAAAACATTGACAATGTGTTATTTAAACGTCTAACTATGCGAGGATTTATCGTCGGCGATCCAAACATGGGCGATAAGTATGCTAAGGAACATCAAGACCGTCTTCAACGGTGGATCAAAGACGGCTCATTCAAAGCCCTTACGCACGAGACAGAGGGCATTGACAATGCAGCGGAAGGTTTGGTTGGAATTTTCCATGGAAATAATATGGGAAAAGCTGTTCTGAAGTTTTAACTTCTTTTCAATACAGTAATTCAACGAAGTGATAGACATAAAAGACTTTAAAACGTGAAGATGAGGTGGCGAGGGAAGAAAGCAATAATTTTACAGACGTCCTGCCATATCCTTGGGTTGGTCTTGTTGCTTAGTAGGATAGTTATTCAAATCAACCCTCATCGCCGCTCCTGGAAATAAAACACATGTCTCATTATTCTATAACAAACATCTTAAGAGAAATAAATCCACGTGCTAACTCTCTCTCTATTCATAGTCTCCAATTAATTGCTAAGCTACTGTCCTATACAGTGAAAATATTGCGGTGTGACAGACCAAAAAGTGGCTTAGCAAACTCCGTCGGACTTATAAATCAAAGTTTATCCTCAGCTGCGGCTCTTCTCTAGTCACGGAATTAAGGTTTATCCAGGAATGTACATAGGTACTTAAGTAAATGCCAGGTGGGGCGCGGGTAAGTCAGGACTCTTCAATGCATGCATTAATGGATGCCTTCCTGGACTCCGAGCTGTTCCGTCGGAAGGGTACACTAATCCTGAGCGCCCCGCGAAGTACAGGAGGGCCGTGACGTCAACTCCTAGGTTACTTTCCTGGTAATAGTTGATTGGCCTCTCTATTTGAGATACTGTTTGTTTAGTTGCTACCACTCTGCAGAGTTCTGTGGCGCTGGGGTAAATCGGATCGCTCGGCCTCACGGATCGGTTGACTCTCCCAAAAGTGCTAGTTCTGAAATTAATATACCACCGCCAACCAACTACACTTATAAAGACGTGACCATCCCAACGTCAGTTTGAGCATCATCAGCCCTGATAACACCTAAAATCTTCATCAGTTCAACAGAAAGGAATTAAATTCTCAGCAACAGTTTGTAGCAACCATGGCCAACTCATCTGATCGCAAGCCCGCTCCAGACGCAGCTGAGGCCGATGCCTGGTTCCCGTCTCCTTATTCTCTTACCCAATACACGTCGCCTAAGACGGATTTTGACGGCGCAAATTACCCTAACGCCTACAAGGGCGGCAAATGGAAAGTGCTCTTGATTGCGACACAAGAGCGCTATCTCAAGATGGCCAACGGCGAATTCTTTTCGACAGGCAACCACCCTGTGGAGATGCTTTTGCCCATGATCCATCTTGATGCTGCGGGGTTCGATATCGATATTGCCACGCTTTCAGGCGACCCTGTGAAATTTGAGATGTGGGCTTTCCCAAATGAGGATGAGTCGGTCAAAGCTATCTACGAGAAGTACAAGGAAAAAATCCGTAGCCCGCTCAATCTCCACGACGTGTGGGGTAAGGGCTTTACCAAGGATACTCCCTACCTCGCAGTGTTTATTCCTGGTGGCCACGGTGTCTTAAACGGTATACCCTTCTCGGCAACTGTCGGAAATATTCTTCGGTGGGCCCATGAGAACCAACGCTTCTTCATTTCACTCTGCCACGGGCCAGCCAGCATGCTCGCTGCCGATGTTGGAAAGCCTGAGGGTAGCAAGTTTATCTACGAGGGATATCAAATTGACGTTTTTCCGGATGAGCTGGATCAGCAGGCAAATGTCGAAATTGGCTATATTCCGGGCAAAATGGAGTGGCTGGTCGGCGACCGGCTCCGACAGCTCGGTGTCAAGCCGCTCAATAGAGGCATCAACGGTGCCACTCATCGGGATAAGCTTGTTCTGACTGGTGACTCTCCATTGGCATCAAATAACCTTGGCAAATTGGCTGCCAAGACACTTCTTGAGGAGGTTACCAAGCTCCTATAATTTTCTTCTCGCACAAATCCAACAAGAAGGGGCAGGAAGGAAATGTGGAAAGGACGTGCAGAGAATAGTTAGGTAATTACATAGGTGATAACAATGATAGGTGAGATTGCGAGTGCTTGCATAAACTCCTGGTTTCTTTGTAAATTGTAGTTGTATCAATCACATCCTCTACTACATGCTCTTGAATTGCTATATTATTGATGTTGCTGTCGATGAGTAGTGCAGACACCTCTACGTTCAACATTTGTTCTCCCGCGAGCTTTTTATTGGGCCAGTTAAGCTGCTGGTTGATGGTATGCGCCCGATAGATTGCTTATAGCAGCGCCTGGACTGTGATTAGCTGCCCCAGTATGTAGACTAGAAAACAATGATCTAATATCTATATTCTGCAAGATGAGGAAGTTGGTGTTTCATGTGCAGAGATTGCAGTGCGATTATATCATTCTAATTTGACCTGTCGGATATCTAGTAATACTTAATTGAGTTTCGATACCGCAAATCATGATTTCGGAGAGGGGAAATAAAAAATGCAATGTGATGTTCTTCCCCGCCATCAGTTATAATAGCTATAGACCATTCTTATTACTTCCATCCTTAGTAGAAAATAGTAGGACCCTATTACCGTGCTAGCACGGTGCCATAGGTGCCAACAAGGTGCCAACAAGGTGCTAGAAGGTGCCAGCTGGTGCCATAGCACGGCATGGTGCCATAGGTGCCAGCACGGTACCGTAATCTAGCACAGTTCCGGCTAGGTACTAGCAATAGAGCCCTATAAAAAGGAAATTATAGGGAGTTTTCGTACTGTGATAGATAGGGGCTATAGTGGTATAGGTAGATATATTAATAGACTTTTATTATTTCCCTGTTTGACTCCCCTATAATACAAAATTTCCCGTAAGGTAAAAAATAGTTAAATTAAGTAAGATAATAGGTATAATATAAAGTATCTGCTTGTAAAAGCGGGATTTCCTTTTTTAGATGTGCAGAGCTTTTAGTACCTGTGGGTACGTTTGGCACCTCAATAGCACCCATTTAGCAACTTTTGGCACCTTGCTGGCACTGTGCCAGCACCGTGCCCATCTATGGGACTATACCGGCAGGGGCTCGAGAATACTGCACCCTGCCATCATAAGGCATGGTACCAGACCTCCATAGGTTTCCACTATGGTTCTCATAACTTGAACACAGTTCTTACGCATAGCGGCTTCTAGCCAGAATTGAGAGTGTGTCTCTCCAATTGTGGTTATCTGCATGTACTAAGCTAAGCTGTGCGACCTGACTACATGTAGCTGCTAATTGTGACGTCGCCTTAAGGTGGGGTAAGCATGTTCTCTTTAATAAGTCCGACGGAGCCCATCCGACATTTTCTGTTTAGCTCGAACTTTGCAAAATTGAGCATCTCCGTCGGAAGGCGTTAAAGATGAATGCGACCCGGAAACGACAGAAAGTCTCTTCAGCCTGTCAAAGGTGCCGCGAACGAAAACTCGGTGTAAGGATATTCTTCTAGACTTGGTGTGAAGTCGACTTTTTCCACTAGATAGTAACGTGTTTGCAGTGCGACGCAGACAGACCGTGTCAATTATGTACTCGTGCAGGCGCTGAGTGTGTTCCTCGAAATGGCGGGAGGATAGATACAGCAAAACCGCCTGAAAGAGATAGCGATTATTCTAGGGATGATCAAACTAATCGCCTTGGCTCCGAAGATACAGTCATCGCCTCGGAGTCAAACATTGTAAACTTAAGTACCATGGTGAGATACGATCTCGATATATTATGTTGAAATGCTAAAGATCGATTGATAGATGTTTGTCGAAACTGCCTCGAACCAGCATCTGGTACATGACACATCTGCTTTGCCTGGTGGCACTAAGCCAATGAATTGCGCTCTCCCGATTGCCGGAAGCTGGCGAGATTTGATAGGAATAGAGCTGCCTGCAGATGACGTACTAGACGACTGTGTCAAAAGCTTTTTTCTCTCCGTTGATTGGTTCATGATGGTAAGGATTATAGAGCTGTTATACGTACACACAGCCTCTATATCTGACTCAGCGCCTAGGTCTTTCACGAGGAATCGTTCAAACGCAGATATGAAGAGTTTCTCCATCAACAGCGAGCATACCATGACAGCGACTTCCTTTGGATATGCATGTTAGTAATAGCACTTGGAGCTCACTACTTGGCATTAGAGCCACCATCAAACCAAAACGCCGTCAACTATCGGCAGCTTTCCGAAACCCTTTTATCGAATATCGAATCCCATTTCCTACAAATAATCAGCAGTTCTACATTGGAGACAGTCCAAATATGCATCTTACTTGGCAGCTTTCTTCTGTTCAACGGCCGGCCCAACGCAGGATTAGGCATCTCGGGCAGCGGCGTTAAAATTGCTCAAGTTATTGGGTTACATCGCGAAAGCCTATGGAGAGAAAGGTCTCAAGCTAAGCGAGAAGAGAAGCGGCGTGCTTGGTGGGCATTGGAAGTATTCGATAAGTAAGTTATAGCCACATTTGTTCTCATCTCGAGTACCATGTCAATGTAATAAACTTATAACTGATGCCTGCCAACCAGATACGCAGCTATTGTCTTTGGTCGGCCATGCATTATCGACGACTCTGATTGCGACGTCGGCATGGTGTCTGATATCCAGTTAGGCCGACAAATAAATTTAGAGAGTTCTCTTCTAGTGTATCACCAATGGAAATTTCGACTTTACAGAATATTGGGGCCATTCCTTGGACGAAGAAGGCAACAAAACCGAGTTAAAACTGTCCATACAATTCATCAACAGCTACTCCAGTGGCGAAGGGAGCTGCCCGAAAGTCTTCGATTGGAAAACTATGATCAAGATTCAGAACACATATCTCTACTCCAAATGCAGGCACTGAACCTCCAAATTACGTACAATAATTTGCAAATCATTTTTCATCGTACTACGGCCTTTCAGTACAATGACGAGGAATGCAAATTTAGATCAGCCGATACAAGAAACAACGCCTCTCTTCAACAGCTCCTCGAATCTGCTCTGGATATATCCGAGCTGTATAAATATTCGTCTACCATGCATGCTTCTAGACGGACACATGCTGATATGCACATTGGAATAACCCTTTTCACTGCTGGGGTGGTACTGTGTGCTATATGCCTCTCGCAGCCAATGACTACAATGAGCTCTAGGGCAAAAACAGGGGTTATGCATATTATCCGCATGTGCCGTAACGGTTCCTCCTCGAATCAGCACCTGGTTTCAACACAAAGTCTCTCCATTTTGGACAGCCTTGTAACTGTTGTATTACGGTTGGAAACTGAACTGATTACTGGAAAGGCGAATCATCCCACGGTAGTAAACTCTGATCAACATGAGTCTCCCAGGCCGATTCAAAATATTATTCCGTCTATTGGGACGGGTACTCTCAACAGCGGGGCGGCAATTTCGCAATACAATCCTACTAACAGTGAGAGCATACTGCAACCAATTCGGGAAGGTAAGTAAAATCTGTCGCGATTCCATACAGGACTGATTGGAACACTATGTAGTTTTCAACCATCATATTTCTCAATTGAAGCCTTTATCATCTACGCCTCGGGATAGGATAGAACACAATGAGACTACCGAAGGATCGATTTTGTCACAACCATTTATGGAATCAGCAAATACATTCGACTGGAACGGAGATTTATCATTCTTGGTAGATTCGGACCTCTTAGATGCAAGCCAGTTATGGCTGTGGGCGGATAACCTAAATTATGAATCCTTTAATGAGATTCAAAATAATTAAACTTTATTTATTTATTTTTGTTTTATTTATTTTATTATTAACGTCTATTAAATAAACTAATTATATAAATCTTTATTTAAGTACTAAGACAGTAAAAGCTATAGTTATTTAAACCTTATATTTATTATATTTTAATTTAATAAAAGAAATAAAAAAAAAAATATTAATTTATATTTATAAAAAAAAAATTATATAAGTTTATTTTTTTTATTAATTTTTAAAACTTTTTATAATTTTTATAATTTAAAAAATATATAAAATATATAGTTTTAAATAAAAAGTTTTTTTTTAAAATATTAAAAAAAAAAAATATAATTATTTAATATTTTTTAAAATATTAAAAAAAAAAATATAATTATTTAATATTTTATAAAATATTTTTAAATTTTAAATTTATTATATTTATAAATAAATTTTATATTATAATTAAATTTTTTATAATATTTTATAAAATTATTATATTTAAATTTTTTAATTAAAAATTTATAAAAAATAAAATATAAAAAGTAAAATTTAAATAATATTATAAAAATATTAAATTATTAATATTTATAATATAACAAAAAATTATTATTTTAATAAGTTTTTAATATTAATTTTTATTTATTTTTTATTTATTTTTTAATATAAAAAATTATAATATAATTATTTATATATTTTAAAAGTTTTAAATTTTTATATATTTATTTTTTAATATAATAAAAGTAAATAAATTTTATTTTATTTAAATTAAAAAATATTATATTAAATTATTTTTAATTTAAAATATTTTAAAGTTTTTATTAAAGTTTTTTAATTATTTTTTTAATATTAATTTTAATTATAAAAATTATTATATTATTAATATATTTAAAATATATATTAAAATTATTAATTTTTAAAATAAAAAAAAATAAAATATAAAAATAATTAATAAAATAAATAAACTTTAAAAAGCTTTATATTTTAATTTTATTTTTAAAAAAGTTATATTATATTTATTATAAATTAATATTTTATATTTATTTATAAAAAACTTAATTTATTTTATAAAAAATATAAGTTAATTTTATTTTTTAAGTTTTAAAATAAAGTAATTTTATATAATAATATTAAAAACTTTAAAAATATTTAAAGTTAATAAAATAATAATTAACCCTTAAATAAAAGTTATTTTAATATTATAAATAATATAAATTATTAAGTTTATTATTAATCTTTTAAAAAAAGTTTTAAAATATTATTTTAAAAATATTTTATATTTTATAATTAAAAATAAAACTTTTTTAATTAATAGTTTTTTAAGTTTTTTTTTAAGATAAAAAAAAAAAAAATAAACTTATATTTTTTATAAATTATATAAGTTTTTTTAAGTTTATTTAATTTAAAAATAATAATAATTTTTATATTTTTTAAAAAAAATAAATAATAATTAATTATTAAATAATCTTTAAAAAATTTAATAATATACTTTTTAATTACTAATTAAATTAATTAAAATAAAATAATTAAAATTTTATTAATTTTAAAAATTATATTATTTAATTTAATAATAGTTTTTTTAGCTTTTACTTTTATAATTATAATATTTTATATTATATTTTTATTAATAAAAAACTTTTATATTTATAAATTTAATATATTTTCTT